AGTTGAATCATAGTATATAGATCACTTATTTATTTACTTCAACTGCAGAGCAAGTACGCGAGGCTCTTTTGCTTTTATCGCGTTGGAAATATTGACACAAGAGTAATTTTCCGTTACTGAGGAACCATTATAAGTTTGTCCTCTCTTCTTCTTTGTTATATACATACACGTGTATATACATATATATATATATATATATATATATATATATATACGTACTTATGTTTATTATATATTATTATTAAATTTGTTATTTTTTTATTAATTTATTTTTGATGGTTTAAATTTATTAATTATACATTATAAAAAACTGGTTTGTAATATTTAATAAAGTAATTATGTAAATTATTATATTACATAATCTAAATTAATAACAGTTTTGAAAAGAAATATTCAGAAATCTGGAATAGTTCAATTTCCACGTAGAATTAATTAAAATTTTTAAAAAATAATGAATAATAACGCTTAATAATATATCAGTAGTTAAAAAGTGAATTTTTTAATATTTAATAATAATAATAATTTAGTAAATTCAATACCGCTTTTTGTGCGTTAGCAGTAACATTAACCAGTGTTAAATAATACATTAAAATCTTCTAAAAAAAGATAGTAAGTAGTAAAATCTAGATTTGATAAGACAGAAATTTCCTTTAACTGTTGAAATCTAAGTTGTATCAGTAGTAAAAACAAATTTTAGTCAGACATAATATAACTATTAAAATACATTTCAAATTTTAATCTTTAAGTTTCAATTTCAGTAGTATAGCCAATTTTAAGTCAGACAAACTAATTCAAAACTGTGTTTATTAAATAAATATCAGTGGTAAAAGTAAATTTTCGTCAGACATAACTAATAAAAAAAACTTTTCAAATAATAGAGTTTTAGATTCATTTTCAGTAGTAAGAATTTCAGTAGTAAAAGCAAATTTTAGTCAGACATAATATAACTATTAAAATATATTTCAAATTTTAAAGTTTAAATTTCAATTTCAGTAGTAAAGCCAAATTTTAGTCAGACAAGATGATTTAAAACTGTGTTTATTAAATAAATATTAGTAGTAAAAGTAAATTTTCGTCAAACATAACTATTAAAAAATGTTTTAAATTATAGAGTTTTAGTTTCAATTTCAGTAGTAAAGCCAAATTTAAGTCAGACAAAATGATTCAAAACTGTGTTTATTTAAAGAAAATAAGTAGTACTATTTACTTTTAGTCAGGCATGACTATTAAAAGACATTGAATTTCACAGTTTCAATTTCAGTAGTAAAGAATATCAGTAGTAAAAATAAATTTTAGTCAGACATGATTATTAAAATTCTATTCAAATTTTAGAGCTTCAGTTTCAATTTTAATAATAAAACCAACTTTAAGTGAGCCAAAGTGATTCAAAACTGTGTTTATTTAACGAAAATCAGTAGTACGATGCAATTTTAGTCAGACATGACTATTAGAATCCGTTTAATTATACAGTTTAAATTTAAGTAGTAAAGCCAAGTCTTAAGTCAGCCATAATAATTTAAAATTATGCTTATTAAAAAAATATCAGTAGTAAAAATCAATTTTAGTCAGACAATTGAAATACATTTGAATTTTGTAGTGTCAGTAGAAAAAGAAATTATTCTGTCTGAATACATATTGACTTATACTACTGACTGACTTATATTAAAAACATATTGAAATAATGTATTTGACTAAATAATTTTAATTCAATTTACTTAAAATTTCAAAATAATTTCTTTTACTAAAATACGAATAAGGAGAACAGTATAGTAAAAATTAATTTTAGTCAGACATAAATATTAAAGAACCTTTCAATTTTAAGGACAGCAGTAGTAAAACAAATTTTAAGTCAGCCACATTTACTTCAATCTGTAATTAAATTTAGTTTATAAGTAGTGTAAGTCAATATACGTTTAGACAACAGAATATTTATTACTGTAACATATATATATAAGGAAAACTGTAATAAAAATTAATTTTCGTCAGACATAAATATTAAAGGACATTAAAATTTTAGAGTATCAGTAGTAAAACCAAGTTTAAGTCATCCAAATGCGTTACACTAAAAAAGTAATTTATTTAATTTAAACAAACAATTCTATGTCTATCAATAAATAAATATTCACCAGAGTAAAATAATTTTGTATTTGAATCGATTAGTTAATCAGTAGTATAAGTCAATATTCTTTAGAAAAAATAATTTTTATTATTATAATATGAATAATGTAGTAAAAATCAATTTTAGTCTAACACAGCAATTAAAATATGATTAAATTCTGGAGTATCAGTAGTTAAACCAAGTTTAAGTCAGCCTTATTATTTAAATCGGTATATTTATTATTAGGTAGTCACTAGCATAAGTCAATATTCATGCAGACAAAATAAACTTTGATGATATTTTAATGCGAATAAGAAAAACAGTAGTAAAAATTAATTTTAGTCAGACAAATTTCAAAAGACGTTTAAATTTTAAAGTAGCAGTAGTAATACAAAGTTTAAGTCAGCCGAATACAGTATTTAAATCAGTAGTATAAGTCAACTGCATTAAGGTCTGCATATATTTAAATACATTTATTATTTCTTTTTATACCTACTATTTTCATACTAATATTTTCATTTATTATTATTTTATTTTATTTCCAAGCTTAAATTATTTTTTTTATTACTTATTTAAAAATTTGTCCCCTTATAGGACCTGGTGAAAATTTCTACATGACTATATATGTATACATGTGTGGGTGTATATACATATATACACTCACGACACTCAGGAACGATAGCAGCTGCCAGTACGAGGGGCAAAACCTTAATGACAGAACCGAATGGAACTGAAAGCACGACTGAGTTGCTTTCCATATAAAATCTCATTAAATCGTCTTTCTCTCTCTCTCTCTCTCTCTCTCCGCGCTTCCCGTTAACCTCGTACTTGACAAAAACAAATGAAAATACCTTTTCGCTTTCTGTAGAAACTACGATTTTTGACCTCAATTTTTTTCCTCTTCTTTAATTATAATTATGTTAAAAGGCCACATGTGACATTTTTTGTTTCTGCAAAATTTTTCACTGAATTAGAATAAGAAAAAAAAATTTATTTTCCACATTTAGTTATATCAGGAGTAAAAATCAATTTAAATTAGTCATAACTATGACTAAGAGGGGTTTAGATTTTGGAGCACCAGTAGTAGAACCAAGTTTAAGTCAGACAAATTGATTGCGAAATGTGTGTTTAATAATAGCGAAAAATTCAGTAGTAGAGGTCAGTCAGACAACGGTATTTTTAAAACTATGATTTTGCGTTCCTTTATGTAATTGTATTTTTTGTAAAAATAATTTTTACCATATAATTTATTGTCAATTTAAATTAGGGAAAATAATTAAACTCTTATAAATATCAAATATCAATTAATAGTAAATTTCATTAATTTTTAGCTTGAAAATAAATTTTTCAACAATGAATCAATAGAAAAGCTAGTTTTAGTTCTGGGCAAAAAGTTATTTAACTCATTGTGTATAATCTTAGTTGTCTAAGTAGTAAAACTGGATTTTAGTCAGACATGGCTATTAAAAGTCGTTTAAATTTTAGAGTTTAAGTTTCAAATTCAGGAGTAAAGCCAAGTTCAAGTCAGCCAAATTGACTAAAATCTGTGTTTAATAATTATTAAGTCAGTAGTACAAGTCAATATTCTAGTCAGACTTGATTTTCAAATAACCAAAATACAATATTTTTGTTAATTCCACTATATATTTTTTTTTCTATCTTCTATTTTTTATTCCATACGACAGGATTTTTTCTCAAATAAACAAAATATAAACGAAGGGAAAAAATTTAATTTTTTTCAAACAAATTCACGAAGAGAAAAAATTTAATTTTTTTTCAAACAAATTCACTAAGAGAAAAAATTTAAATTTTTGAAAAATATTTCTATAAAAATAAAATAATACTTTAAAAAAAACTATGAATAAAAAGAAAAAAATTTTAACTTGAAAAATATTTTTTAATAAAAAATTCTGATCAACTCTTGTAGTGAAAAAATAAAACTCGACGAATTTATTATTTGTCAAACAAAAAAATTTATTTTTTAGACTCAAAAAAAAGAAAAAAATGTAAACTAGTAACAAATAGAAAGAAAAAAAAACAGTGCGATAACAAAAGTAGAACGTGACACAGACACATATACATGCACAGAGTGTTTGTAGTTTATCTGAAATCACAATTTCTCTTCTCGTCAGCTTCAGATCAAGCTTCCCTGGGCTATAAAAGATTCGTAATCATTTGGAAAGCTTCAAATAAAGAGACTTGGAGATTAATTCGTTCTAGAGGAAACTCTTCCCATCAATTGTCATTTTTTTTTTTTTTCTTTTTGAGTGAAAGAAAATGTTACTGGCAAAAAACTTCCTGATATTTCTTGCTTTCCTCTGGAATCAAGAGCTTTATTTTTCCCCGACATAATTCATCTCCCACTCCTTTCTCTGTAGGTTACTTTTTTTTGGGGGGAAGGGGATATTTTTCTTTATTTTAAGTATCTTAAATTTATTGCAAATATTTTGTTACTCTTTTATTAATTATTAATTTATTTAATTATATAATTGCGTATTTATTTTCTTATTTAATTTATTTTTTTTCCTTTCATTATTTTCTTATTTACATTATTATTTATTTCATTGTTTACTTAGTTTTTAGTTAAATTATTTCATTTGTTAATTATTTATTTATTCTTGAATTTTCCCAGAATTTATTTTCTTATTTATTTGTCTTATTATTTATTTATTTATTTGTTTAATAATTGATTTACTCATTTTTTTAATTATTAAATTGCTCACTTATTTATTCGTTTGTTTTCTTAATTACTTATTGATTCTATATTTACTTTTAATTAAATTTGATAAAAGTTGGAATTTTTGTTAAAAAAAAAATATTTTTCCAAAAAATGTACTAAACATTCAGTAAATTAAGAATGAAAACTAAGAAAACTTTTGTTTTTTATCTGTTTTCAGGCTAAAAGAATACGATGAGACAATCCAACTTATCATGAACTTTCCAAAGTTCATGCAGCGACGCTGTAGGATATCGTATCACATATCATGGAAACGGTAGTCTTACTTCTAGAAGTCTTAATTGTGTCGGCCCTATCTTCTGAGGAGCCGATAAAAAATGTTTTCGGTAAGTTCTCAATTTTTAAAAAATCAAACAAAAATGTAAAATTTTTAAATTATTAAATAAATAATATACAGAAAGAAATGAAAAAAAAAATTTTAATTCAAATTTATATAAATGAGAAATAATGAATGATATTTATATAAGAAATAATTGAATTTGATTTTATATTAACAAGAAATTATTAAATTTGAATTCATATAACTTATACGTATTTTTTTTAATAATATAAATTTTACTACATATGCATGAGAATTTTTTTTTTTCTTATTAAAATTTACAACAAGAGGATTAATATTAAAAGCATGAATATTCCATAAAAGTTTTTCAACATAAAAGTTGAAATTTCCAGGAGAACGAATTTTTACAAAAAACCCAGGTTTTTATCTGGCATAGCATAACAGACAAAAACGTTCTTTTTTTTCCTATTCGTTTTATCTCTGATATATCAGTAGTAAAAGTCAATAATAGTCAGACAGTGATGGAAAAACAAAATTTTTTTTTACATCAAAGAAACAGTAGTAAAAGCAAGATAAAGCCAGGGAAAAAAATGAAAAAAAAAACTTACGCAATTTTAGTAAATCAGTAGTAAAAGTCAATTTTAGTTATATGGACAAAATAAATAAAATTTGTAAATAAATTTTACAATTAGGAGCCAGACAAACTATTTATTATTAATTTTTGGTAGTTTTTAAATTTTGATTTTTTTCTTATATTTTAATTTATTTTTATTTTTAATAAATCATCAAATAACTCTGAAAGTAAATTATTCCATGAAAAATCGAAAGAATTCCCTGATTATTAGACAAAACTTTAACTTTTTTCCAAATTCTAAAAATATTTAAGTTTACTCTAAAAATAATTGAAACTCCAAAATATGTTTATAATACGTTTTTTTGAATATCTTTAATTGTAAAATCATTTGGAACTGAAATAGATTTTTTGCAATAAATATTTAATTATTATTTTTCCATTAGAAGGTTTGAAAAAAAATTCAAATTTCAAATCCTTTGAAAGCGAATAATTTTTAAGAATTGCTACTGCAACTTATTCAAAATTATATTCAAAATTTCCATTGAATTATTTTCTAGAAATTTTTGACTAAAATATTTCTAAAATTCACTTGTTTATAAGACAATTTCATAATGGAATTTTGAATAATTTGAAAGTTATTCAATTAAATATTATACATTTTAAAATATAAGTAATTTGAAAAAAATACGAATAAAAATGTTTCATAAAACTAACTTATTCGGAATTTTTAATTAAAATCTTTTACAATTCAACTTTTCTAAAACTTTAATTTGAAACTTTTTAAAATTCAATTTATATTAAATATTAGTAATATTAAATATTAATTTAACATTCTAAAATATAGGAATTGTTACTTATGAATAATTGTAAAAAAACGAATTGATAGTTTTTTAAAAATTAATTTTCTAAGAAAAGAAGTTTTCTTTATTTTATTTTTTATTTACTTTATTTATTATTTAAAAATTGATTCTTATAAATTTAGTATTACTTTTGTTCTAATTAGTTCAAATGTTTACTATTTAAAATTTGTTTTGCTATAATATAATTGCCAATAAAATTTATAAATTGATTTATTTTTCTCTTTTAATGTGAAATTTTGTCTCTTTCAAATTTTTTCGACGAATTTAAATAAAATTATATTTTGTTTAATTATTGTTAAAAATTGAAAGAATTTAAAATTAAATGTAATATTTTCTTTTTTTAAGTTTTTTAAAAATATTTTTATTGTACTTTTGTTAAAATCCCCTGACAAAATAAAACGATTTTATAGAAGATCATTCAATCTTTTTTAATGAAATATAATTAATAAGTCTTAAAATAATTATATCTCTTTTTTTCACAAAATAAATCAGTGTTTTGAAAAAAAATTTCAGTCAGACATGTTTGTATGGAATTTTTCCGGAAGTTGTAAAAAATCAGTAGTAAAAATTATTTTCGGTCAGACAAAATATTTCCAACTCAATTGTGACATTTCAGTGATAGAGATCAATTTTAGTCAGACACGATTGTATGGAATAATTTTCCCTGCAATTCAGAAAATCAGTAGTAAATATTATTTTCTGTCAGACATTTTACCAAAAAGACGAAAAATTCTAAATAAATATTTTTTTGTTGTAAATTATTATTTCTACAACTTAATTTGAATATTATAACTATTATTTTAATTTTTTTAAATTATTCTCTTTTCTTAATATTTTTCACTTAGTGACAAACTAAGAAAATAAATTTTTACCGAAAATCTCTCTAGTTTAATTCTATTTCGTTAAATTCAAATATATAATCCGAAAAGAAGAAGATCTCCACGAAAGAAATATAATAATTAGATAAAAAAAATTTAACATTTTAATTTGATTTCAGGGCAGTGTTTACATCCTCTTGGCATGGAGGAGGGAAAAATTCCGGACGATGCAATAACGGCTTCTTCTAGTTACGAGATGAAGTCCGTCGGCCCGCAAAATGCGAGGTATATATATATGGATATAATTTTTTTTTTTCTCATCCTCTTAATGAAAATTATACCCGGCATCCTCTTTTACTTATAAACAGCCTGCGTTAAAAGCAAAGTCAAAAGTGGGAGAGTAGAGAATTCTCTAAAGCAAAATATGCCTGTCAGTTGAAAATGCTTTTACTTAATGACATTTTATTATTAAGGTAAATTCTCAACGATAATGGATATATACTAGCCTCCTTTATATTATGACACGCGATATAAACAGTTTCCTTCCAAGATATTAAGAACACGTGCGGTACAAAGTGACAAAACTCATTATATATTGTGTATATATGTATACACTGGACCAATATTCAACATTGGTTCAAAGGTCAGGAATTATGTGGAAATTATCCGAAAATGTATGAACCGTTTTCAAAAAGGGACAAGGGGTGAAAATTTAACTAGAAACTTTTTTTTAATTAGTTTTATTTTAATTAAATATTTAAAAAAAACAATCCGTTTCAATTAAGTATTTAAAAAAAAAAGTTTTAAGTAACAAATACTTTTTAGTTTTCAGTTCTTTTATTCTTCACTTATTGTTTTCCTTTCAATTATAATGTTAGAAAATTGATTTTAATTTAATTTAGTAAAGCGAAAAGTTTCACTATTTTCTCGCACAAATAACTACCAAACCGAATTTTAACGAAGCATTTAAATTTTCAAATAATTTTTTTACACTCGGTTTATTTTTATTTTTCTTATAATTTATTCTTTATTTTACACTCATTAAATTTAAATTAGTAAAAATTTTTTTAATTTAAATATTAGTGGTGACTTTTTGCTTTTGAATTTATAAGTAAAATTTACTAATTCAAAAGCAAAAAGTCAGTCACTAATTCAATTTTAGAGAGCAAGTCTGCATAAATTTTTTTTATTATTATTATAAAGAGAATAATAAAAAAATAATGATAATAAAAATAGTAATGAAAAATTAAAACAATAATGCAAAGTACTTGCCCATAATTTTATTATTATTATTATTATTATTATAAAAGAAAATAATTAAAATAATAATTATTAACAAAAATAATGATAATAAAATAATAATAAAAAGTTTATTACTATTATAAAGTAAATTAAAATAAAAATAACGATAATAATAATATTTTAAAGGATTTGACATTTGGACCCATTTATTATTATATAGTTATTAATAAAATACAATAATAATTATATGAAATAATTATTTAATAAAAAATAGTAATAAAAATACTAAAGTAGTAGAAATAATAACAATAATAAATGATAGTAATAAAATAAGTAATAATTAACAAAAAGAAGAGAGTAAAATATTTTTTTCATCCTTTATTAATAATTAATAACTTCATTTCCTTGTCTTGAATAAATAAAATAAAAAATTGATATTAAGTTGAAATTTTAATTAATTCAGAACTTTTATTTACAGTTTATTATTTACTTACAGATATTAAAAATTTTAACTACATTTCGTTTTCCAATTGTTAAATAAAGTTTTCCAAATAGTAATCCTGAAGAAAAAAAAAGAAAGAAAAAAACAAACTAAGTAGACAAAGTAGATTTATATGTGTGCAAAAAAAAAAGAAAAAAATTACAAGAAATGAGATTTTACTTGCAATTACTCTTTGCAATTTTACTTTTGTTTTTAACCTTTGTGAATTTTTTCCTTTTTTACTTTTCTCTCTTTTTTTTATTGTTTTCCTCAAAGGAAATTCGTTCGGTAAAAAAAAATCTAACTCTAATTTAGCCTCTCGCGTTACAAAGTGATTATTTGAGACTGCAACGAACTCACGGGCACACGCTCGTTTTTTCATTATTTCCTTATTTGACGCCAGGCGGAAGTGAATTAAACTAAACAGGGTTGGCAAAAAAAAAAAAAATAAAATAAAGGAAAAGGGGAAAAAAGGGAGAATAAAATTAGAAGAACTTTATTAATTCAGTTCAAAGGCATCTTCTTTTTTATATCATGAAACGAGACTATAAAATTCTTTTGTGTATAAAAATTTCAGTAATTATTCTTACTTTACTTCTTTTTCGATAAATGAATAAATATATAAATAACAAATAATAATAATAATAATAATAATAAATGAATGAAAAATAAAAACTATAAAAAAGTAAAAAAAATTACAAATAAATAAGTTTAGAAATAAAGAATAAATAAATATTAAATAAATATATAAAAAATATAATAAGTATATTTGATAAATAGAAATATTAAATTATAAATAAATATGTAAATAAATAATAATAAATATATAAATAAATAAATGTTTAAATAAAGATATGGGTAAATAAATATACAGCAAATAAAATGAAATAAATCAAATAATAATAATTGAATTAACAAACGGATGTGATTTAAATAAATAAATAATATTAATGAAATAATGTTAATATTAGTGATATAAAATTAATAAGTTACTAATTAAATAAAAAATAAAGTAATAAATTAAAAATTCCCTTTACAAATAAATAAATTTGATAAATTAATTTAACAAAAATTATTTGATAAATAATTTTTTAAATTTCCTTCACTTGGAAAAAAATAATTTAATAACTTCAATTGTAAAATTTTCTTTTATTACCCTGTAGAAAAAAATAAAAAAAATTTTTTTTTTTACATCAGATACAAACTATTCTTTATTTCTATGAAAGAAATTTTGTTTTCTAAAACTGAGAGGGAGGGGAATAATTTTGATTGGTTCACTGATCTGGAAGAACCTTTGCGTGAAACAATCTGAAAGTAATTTTTTATGTCTACAGAGTGATCCCTCTCTAAACTATTATTTACTTTGTGTCTCTCTCTCTCTCTCTTTTATTTTTTTATTTTGCTCTTCTTTTTTTCAAAAGTCTTTTTAAACTAGTCACTTTGATTTTGGAATATTTTTTCCCCCTGCTTTCAACTTTTAACCATCATAAACGTTCTCTGTGTGTATAGATTAATTTCCGGTAGACTTGATTTATAAAACCGAAAAAGGAAATTAAATACAAGACACGAGTTAATTGAAAATATGGTAAATTTTTTGTTTGTTTTTTTGATAATTATTTTCTTTATTCGGGTTCATTAAGGTTAAAAGTGTAATTAAGACGATTATTTTAAAAGTATTTTTCAATTTTTTACTCTTCTTTTTTCTATTCTTATTTCTTTATCCTTCTTTTCTTTTCTTCGTTTTCAATTTTTCTTCTTTTTTCTATTTTTTGTTTTTCATTTTTCTTCTCCATTTTCTTTTCTTCCTTTTCTTTTTTTGTTATTTTTTCTTCTTCTTCTTTCCTCTTTTCTATCTTCCTTTCTAATTTTTTTTCTCTTCTTCGATTTTTACTTTTCTTCATTTTTTTCCTTTCTTCGCCTTTTATTTTTGTTGTTCCTTTTCTCGTTTCTTTACTTTTCCTCTTTTCTGTTTTCTTTTCCTTTTTTATTTTTTTCTGTTTTCATTTTTATCTTCCTTTGCTCTTGTATTCTTTTCTTGGTTTTTAATTTTTCTTTTATCATTTCATCCTTATCCGTTTTTTATTTTTTCGTTTTTCTTTTTTCTTTCTTTCGTTTTCAATTTTTCTACTTTCTTTTTTATATTCTTTTTTTTATTTTTCTCCTTTTCTTCTATCTTTTTTTCAACCTTCTTTATTATTTATTTTTCCTAATTTTTTTCTTTTTCTGTTTTTAGTTCTTTCACTTCTTTTTTTCGTTTTTTATTTTTCTCCTCTTCTTTTATCTTCCATTCTTTTTTTCTTTTCTCCGTTCTTTATTTTTCTTTTACCATTTTTTGTTTTTCTTTTTTCTTCATTTTTCTACATTTTTTTCAGTTTTTTATTTTTTTTTTCATTTTTTTTTTCGTTTGTAATTTTTCCTCTTTTTTGTTTTATTTTCTCCTTTTCTCCTTTACCTTTTGTTTTTATTTTTTTCTTCTTTTATTGTTCTTTTATTCTCTTTTTCTCTTAATTTATTTTATTTAGTTCTCAATTTAATTAACGAGAATCCGATGCTTTAATTGCTAATTATTTTGTGTCATTTTCAAAATACTTATAATTGATAATCCTGTAATTGGTCTATGTGACTGTTGGATTTATTTCAATAAATTAAATTAAATTAAAATTAAATTTATTTCTTTTTTCATTTTTCTTTTTTTTCTCTTTTCTTCTCCTTTTTTTCTTCATTTTTCTATTTTTCTTCTTCCTCTTCTTAGCTTTTTTCCTTTTTTTTACATTTTTTCCCCTTTTCTTTCTTTTTTCTCAATTTTTTCTCTAATGTGCCAAAAATACGTAATTAATGTAACTAATTACTAATTCTCATAATTACTTTATACCAAATACTTAAAATAATAATTTTTTCTCCAAAAAATAACAAAATTAGAAAACAATTTTTTTTTTTTTTGTTATAACAATAATATTAATTTCCTTTTTCTTTGTGTGTTTTAGAATTCGACAGGAGAAGAACGGCGGTGCTTGGTGTCCAAAGGCTCAAATTAGTGGCGATGTTCGTGAATATTTGGAAGTTGATCTCACTCAGGATCATTTAATTACATGGACAGAAACGCAGGGACGTTTTGGTAATGGCCAAGGACAGGAATATGCGGAATCCTTTTCCTTAGAATACTGGCGTGGTGCAAATTGGCGTCATTATAAAAATTTAAAAGGCGACAAAGTGAGTGCCGAATTTATTTTTCGAATCATTTTTCATTTCTTTGTCTTCTCTATATTTTATTTTATTTTCTCATTGTCAGTGTGTCTATTAATCGGGAAAAACTGGGAATAAGCCAGGAATTTTATGCCAAACCGGAAATTTTTTCACCAAATTAAAAAACGTTTTATTATTTTAATTTGTTTTTAAAAAAATCGCTTTTTATTTCAATTTTTATAGATATTTATACTGATCTCTATAAATTTGAATTAGTAAAAAATAATTAATTTTAAGGTAAAAAATCAGTCACTGATTCAAATATAGTTTCTAAATAAATTAAATAAAAATTATCGAATTAATAGAAATTTTGTGAATTTCAACTGAAAATAATTAAATTTGTTAGAGAATTCAATTAAAAACTTTTTAACAAATCGAATTTTCAAAGTATTTTAATTTAATAATTGATAAATAATTGAATTTTATAAAGAGTTTAATTATTATTATTAATTATATTTTTACTTGTTCAATTATTTTTATTATTATTATTATTATTATTATTATTAGAGTATTAGTATTATTTGTTAAAAAAAATTTATAAAATCCTCTATAAAAAAAACGAGAGAAAATACGTTTCGAAATTAATTTGACAACTAATCGTCTGGATTACATAATAAAAAAATTCCTTTCTCCTATCATAATCAATTTTGCTTTTGTAAACAGAAAAATGCCAGTTTTGAAGGCTTATTAATCCATTTTTCTCTCCTTTTTTTGCCCCAAAAAGGGGGATTTTTGATCTTTCGTACGCTTGATTAGCAATTAGTTCAGAGATGTGAAAGAATTTTTTTTTTTCTTCTATTTTTCTACTTCTTTTTTTTTTGTTGTGTACATGTAAGGGATTTTTCTGTATTTCATCAAGGACATTAATCACATAAAGAAAAAAAAAATATGTTTAGATCTTACGAGGGAACAGCAATACATATCTGGTGGAGAAACAGAAGTTGGATCTCCCTTTTGTGGCGAGTAGAGTACGATTCGTCCCTTACAGTCAGCACCCACGCACCGTTTGTATGAGGGTGGAGATTTATGGATGTGTCTGGGAAGGTACGCCTTGCTATTTAATCTGCGGAAACAAAATTCGAAAATATATATCATCGGACACTTTGATTAACGCCATTAATATTTTTTTTTGTTTTCTCTGCTTTAAATTAATAATAATCGAATTCCCATATTTTTCTGTAACCATAAATTAATTTCGATCAAAAGTTTATATTGAAAGCAATTCATCTTCTTTCTTTCTTTCTCTCTTTTTTTTTTTGCTGTTTATATATATATATGTAACTGTGGAAAAATTGTTTCAAATGGGAATAATTAATTATCGTAGTGGAGGAATTTTTTTTTTTTCTTTTTATGGGAATTTATTTTCATATAGAAAAAGAGACTGAAATATTATTTATTCATTGCAGAACGAATAGTGAGATACATAATTCCCAAAGGAGAGACATTTGGCCCTGATGGATGGAATCTCGAAGACACATCCTATGACGGAAGTGAGAGGGATGATTTAATGGTGGATGGACTTGGACAGCTCATAGACGGGATCATTGGTGAGGATCCTGAAATCCTCGTCTCCTCGTCCTCAACCAACTGGGTTGGATGGAATAATCTCGAGAAAGTCGAGATAATCTTTGAATTTAACGACTTCCGGGAATTTGAAAATTGTACGATACACGTTGCTCATGTTCCAAAGAAGGAAGTCGAGGTTGGTTATAAATTTGTAATCTGCTTTTTTTTATTTTTATTACAAGCAACTACATTAAAGCGTCCTTCAAAAAAAAAAAGAGACAAGTTTCTGAAAAATATACTGAAAATTCATTTCCCCACAGTTTTCTAAGCGAATGTTTATAAAAAGAGGAAAATTAAAAAAAAAAAAAATTTGCAGTTTATTAACATAAACAAAACTTTATATCGTCACTTTAAATCTCCCTTTCCATGAACTTTCAATCTTGTATTCATGGAAATTCTCACCAGGAAAAGTTTCATTTCAACGAAAATTTTAATTTAGAACGAAATTCCATAAGAGAAAAACTACATTTAATTTATTTTTTGCAATATTTAGCAAAAAAGTACTTTTAGTTTTGATAATTGAATACACAGTTTGGAAAAGAAATTATTTATCAAATTGACGATTTTTGGACAAACAAAAATTGAGGATAAAAAAAATTATAACTGATTTTTTTAATAGAAACTAAAATAAATATTTTTTTCAAATTTATTTATTTGTTTATTTAATTCATTTATTTTTATAAATTTTCATGTTTGTTAATTTACTCTCGAGTTTTTTTTAAATTGACGGGAAAAAATGAAAACGAATTGTTTTTTACTTTACTTACAAATTGGATTATTGGGTTGAATTTAAATGGCAATAATTTTATAAATTTAAAACTTTGTCTCTTCAACTTTTAAATATTTAAATTCACTTTAACTTCCATTATTCGTTTAATCATGAAATATGCTTTTAAATTTGAGGACAGAAAGCTTTCTCTCATTTTTGTTGTTGTTATTTTTTATCCCAATAAAATGTGTATTTCGATAGAAATAATTAAAGAAACGAAAAATGAATATTTACATTCTTGCAAATTAAAAAGCAGAAATATTTTATTTGACATTATTATTAAGTATTAATAATTTAAAAATTATTACTAATTTTGGAAAAATTCAATTATTTTTATGAAATAGTAAAATTTTTCGCAGGAATTCAATTATTTTCAAAACAATTTTAATAAATTTTCACGAAGGGATTCAATTATTTCCTTAAATTTTGATAAAATTCTTCAAAACAATTCAATTATTTTCAATACAATTTTAATAAAATTTCTGGAACAAGTTCAATTATTTTCAATCCAATTTTAATTAAATTCCTCGGAAGAATTCAATTTTTAAAAAAGTTTTCAGCATATTTCGAAAAAATTTAATTTGTTTCTAAAATTTTAATAAACTCTTCGAAACAATTCAATTATTGTTATAAATAGTAAAATTCTTCGCAAGAATTCTATTAATTTAATAAATAGTAAAATTCTTTGCAGGAATTCAATTATTTTCAAAACAATTTTAATAAAATTTCACGAAGAGATTCAATTATTTACTTAAATTTTGATAAAATTCTTTCAAACAATTCAATTATTTTTATAAATAATTCCTAAAATAAATAATTCTTCTGAAAAATTCAATTATTTTCAATAAAATTTTAATAAAATTTTTGGAACAGGTTCAATTATTTTTAAATTTTTGATAAAATTCTTTTTAAATTTCAGTTATTTACTGAATTTTAAATTAAAAATTTAATTATTTAAAAAAAACTACATTGCTTTCAAGAAATTTAAAGAAATTCATGAAAAAAATTTTAATATTTACTAATTATTATAATAAATTAATAATAATTGAAAATTTTAAATTCTAAAATTTGTTGAAAGGATTTAATTTTCTATCAATAATTTTAATAAAATTTAACAATAAAATTATTAATTACAATAAATCAGTAATAAACACGATTATCTTAGAATCTGAAAAAAATACTTTACAAATTTCAATAACTTTCAAAAGTTTGAATAAAAATTGTCAAAAAAACTCCATAATTTTCAAAAAAATTCACATAAATTCTTCGAAACAATTCAATTATTTCAAAAAAATTTTATTAAAATTCTTCCGAAGAATTAAATTATTTTCACAAATTTTAATAACTTTTTTTGGAAGAATTTGATTATTTTAATAAATAATAAAATTCTTTGCGAGAATTTAATTAATTTCAATGTAAGTTTAATAAAATTTCTGTAAAGAATTCAATTATCTTCAAAAATTTTGATAAAATTGTTATTAAATATTAATTATTCAAAAATTATTACTCAGTATTAATTACTTAAATCGGGTTTAAAAATCGTAACTTAATATTAATGACCCAAGAATTATGATTATAAATATTAAAATACTCAAAAATTCTGAAACAATAAATCAATTTTAAAACTTATTTCCTTATTTTCAAAAAACTAATTTTTAAATTCTAATTTTTCCAGTAGAAAAAGGAATAAATAAAATTAAGTAACAACATTTATCCAAAAATCATAATTTACTATAAAAATACTCAAAAATAGTGAAATAATAAATCAATAATTTTTTAATTTATTTCCTTATTTTCTAAAAATTAAATTTTGAATTAAAAATTTTTCAAAATAGAAAAAGTAACAGGAAAAAAATAAAACAAGTATAATTTTTCCGTATATATAAGAATCGTGATTTTCCGAATTTAATTTCGTCACAAAACGCCGTAGGCAAAATGAAATATTCAAAATTTGATTTGAAAATGAAAATATCTTTGAAATGAAACAATAAATTTTAAACTCCATGTAAATGTTTACTGTTTACAATGTCTTTTTACAAGGCCTCAATCGTGTTATCTCATCTCCTTTTATTCCATAGACTTTTTTATTGCAATACATTTTTGAATTATTGATGTTTAGATTGAGAAAACCAACAGCTATGGGCATAAAATCCAAATGTGACGAGAATAATTTTATCGTAAATAAAAAAAAAAAAATGGGGAGGAAAGTGTGCTTGTTTGTAAACATTCGACTTTGATTTAATTTAAATTAAGTAAAATGAAATAACAAAAATAATAATAACAATAAGAATAATAATATTAATTAAAATAATAATATAACAATAATAATATTAAAATACTAGTAATTATTGTCTCGTCTATAAATAAATAAAAAATAATGATCAATTTTTTTTATCAAAGAAAGAAAGAAGAGAGAGAAAAAATGTTAAAAGCAATTCGGTGCAAATATCAGATTGAAATAAAATTAGGTATAATAGAATTGATGTTTCGCGATGAAATCGAGGAACTTCTTGATGCCCTTCAACGGTTAAATCTTTCCTTTTCGAGCCTATCAAAAAATACGAAGTAAACTCACTTGATTGATGGGTATTGAGAGGAACTTTTTTTCTTCTTTCTTTTTTTTATTGGAAAAGAGCCAAATTTACTTAGGACTAATTTTCTTACTTTTAATCAAGAGTTATACGAAAAATCGCCGTAAATGTGATTGATGAGCTTAAAACTTTATTGACTTTTATGGATAAATTCGTTAAATCAATCTTCCTTACGCGATATCAAGTCTTAGACATACATTTTTCTCTTAGTAAATCTTTAAATTAAAAAAAGAAAAACAATTTTGGAAATAATCCTCTTTTATAATTGAAAAAAAAACTTTCGAAATTATTTTTTTATGGGAAATATTTTTCGGAGAGAAAAGAAAAAATAGATATAAAATTTGAAATAAATTGAATTTGCTTTAAATGTATATTAAAGAAGGATTTTTTTTATTTTTTTGAAAGTTACAGGAAAAAATGGAATTGATATTGAATTTTTTTTTTTTTATCTGTTTCTAGGTATTTTCCTCGGCTCTCGTCTGGTTTTCATTTGATGGCCTTCAATATCAAAGCAATCCAGAAAAAATAGAAGTGACAGAAGAAATCAAAACTAGCTCAATCAGTGTATCGATTCCGTTACTATCGAGAGTTGCCAAATTTATTAAACTTGAATTGAAACAGAAATCCAAGTGGTTAATGATAAGTGAAGTCAATTTCGAAACGAGGAGAATTCAACTCTGTGCAATTCCAGCATGTAAGTTATATTTAATTATTCAATTTTTAATTATTTTCAATAATTGTAATAAAATTCTTTAGTCAATTTATAAATAATAAAAAATCTTTGTAAAAAAATTTAATTATTTTTATATAAATAATAAAATTATTATTATAGGATTTCACTTATTTTCAATATAATTTCAATCGATATTTTCGAAAATTTCAATTATTTTTAAAAATACTGAAATTTTCGCTGGAATTCAATTATTTTAAATACAATTTTAATTGAATTCCAGGAAAAATTAAATTATTTTTAAACATTTTTTTAAAATTCTTCGAAAGAATTCAATAATATCAATAAATAGTAAATTTCTCATAGGAATTCAATTGTTTGAAATACAATGTTAATAAAATTCCTCTCAAAAATTCAATTATTTTTTTAAATTTTGCAAAAATTCAATTATTTGTAGAAATAATACATTTTTTCGCAGGGATTCAATTATTTAAAAAAGTTTTAATAAAATTCTATTCAAGAATTCAATTATTTTCAGAAATAATTAAATTAATTAAATCAATGAATTCTTGGAAAGTATTTATGAAAAAAAATTTGAAAATATTTGAATTAATTTCAAGAATGTTATCAACAATTTTTTCAATAATTGAATTCATTCGAGAAAATGTAATTAAAATTGTATTGTAAGTAATTCAATTTTTGGCAAGATTTTTATTAAAATTCTTTAAATTAATTGAATTGTGTTCAAAAATTGATTTTAATTTTCTTGAAAATAATGGAATTTTTAAAATAATTTTTACTGAAAATTTTGAAAGTAATTGAATTTTATAAAGAATTTGATTCAAGTCTTTCAAATAATCGTGTCTATTATTAATTTTTGTATTTAATAATTTTTCTATCAAATTATATTAATATTATTCATAGAAAATTAAATTCTTTAAAACAATTTTATTAAAGTTTTTGTTAATAATCATATTTTTTTGAAGAATTTCATTAAAATTTTAAGTAAAAATAAAAAAAAAAATGAAAATGTAATTTTTTAAAATAATTTTAATTAGAAATTTTGAAAATAATTGAAATTTACAAAAAAAAATTTTTAAAAACTTTTGAGAACAATTGAATTGTTTAGAACCATATTATTATAATTTTTTTAAACTAATTGAACTTATTAGAGAAATTTTATTAAAATTGTCTTGAATATAATTGAATTTTTTTCTAGAAATTTTATTAAAATTGTATTGAAAATAATTGAATTTCTCAGAAGAATTTTATTATGTACAAAAATAATTGAATTTTTATTATAACTCTTGTAAATAATTGAATTTAAATAATATTTTTTTAAATATTTGTATTCTTTCGGGAAATTTAATTAAAATTGTATTGAAAATAATTGAACTCCTCCGAAAAATTTTATCATTTATGAAAATAATTGAATTCGTTTGAAAAAGTTTATTATTTATAAAAATATTTTAATTCTTGCGAAGAATTTTCTTATTTATGAAAATAATTAAATTCCTGAGGAAGATTTTACAATTAATAAAAATAAATGAATTAATTTGAAAAATTTTATCTGAATTTTTGAAAATAATAGAATTTTTTGGAGGAATTTTATTAATAATTTTAAATACAATTTTAATTCAATTCCAGGGAAAATTAAATTATTTTTAAACATTTTTTTAAAATTCTTCGAAGGAATTTAATAATATCAATAAATAGTACATTTTTCATAGGAATTCAATTACTTTAAATAGAAATTTAAAAAAATTCAACTATTTTTTTAAATTTTGCAAAAATTCAATTATTTGTAGAAATAATAAATTTCTTCCCAGGGATTCAATTATTTACAAAGGTTTTAATAAAATTCTATTCAAGAATTCAATTATTTTCAAAAATAATAATAATTTCATTCGTGTCAAGATTTTTATTAGAATTCTTTAAAATTATTAAATTGTTTTGAAGAATTTATTTCAATATTTTAGAAAAGATATAAAGTTTTTTTAAAATAATTTTTACTGAAAATTTTGAAAATAATTTAATTTTAAGACGAATTTCTTTTAAGTTTTTTTTTTAAATAATTGAACCTAGAGAAAAAAATTTAGAGAAATTTTATTAAAATTATCTTGAAAATAATTGAATTTTTATTAAAACTCTAGAAAATAATTGAATTTAAATAATATTTTTTAAAATAATTGTATTCTTTCGGGAAATTTAATTAAAATTGTATTGAAAATAATTGAATTCCTCCTAAAAAATTTTATTCATGAAAGTAATTTAATTCTTTTGTAGAATTTTATTATTTATGAAAATATTTTAATTCTTGCGAAGAATTTTCTTATTTATAAAAATAATTGAATTGTTTCGAAGAATTTTATCTGGATTTTGAAAATTGTGTTTGTTTGGAAAGAATTTAATCAAAATTGTTTAAAATAATTGAATTTATATTAAAATTCTTGTAAATAATCGAATTTAATTAATATTTTTAAAAAATAATTGTATTCTTTTAAGAATTTTTTATTTTTTGAATAATAATAAACAAAAATATTTAATAAGTGAATACTTCAAATTTTTAAATCGGTAATCATTGAAAAATTGATTTTTATTCTTGAAAGTATAATAATTTTTAATTTACAAAATAATAATAATTTCCAGCTGCACGTAATGGCTCAACGGACACATCGGAGCAATTTTTTCGCGCCTGTGAAAATGAATCGGAATCAAATGAGACGATGGATAAATCAAATGGTTTTCTCAATGAGACAGTGTCTGACGTGAAACCAAATTTGACACCTGATGCCTTTCCAATCAACAATTCACAAACGTACATTGGACTTATAAGCGGTGCATTGACAGTTGGAGCTTTATTATTGACCTGTACAGTATTCTTGATGAAACAGAGGGGACGCAATAAAGTTGCCCTTCTTCAAAAGCACACGGCACTATTGTGTGGTTCACCAAAACCAGGGATCACTATTAATATGAAAGATATTAAAATGGCAAATCCAATTGTTGTCAATGGCTTGTCACAGTCAAGATTGTCAATAAAGAGTAAAGGTTTTTTCAGTGACGACAACACTATTCGTAGTAGTGATCAAAACAGCGAATACGAACATTGCAGTGCCTATGAAAGGACCTATAAACTTTTTTCCGAAGAAAATCTTGCCTATGAACCAGCATCGCACAAAGGCGATCATTATTCCGCATGTAAAAGCGAGTACAGTGGTGAGAATGCATTTATTCTATTGATTTTCAATTATAGAGAGAAAATTGGGGAGTGAAATTTCTCTCTGTTTAAAAAAAAATTTTTTTTTCAAGAGAAAATCAATTCGACTAATGATTAAATTTGTCAATTTCTTTTTTCTTCTTCTTTTCTCGCGAGAAGAAAAAGACAAGTTTCTTATTAATTGGTTTTCTCAATTCTCAATTAATTAGCATTGAATAAAATCTTTAAGTGAAATTGAATAACAATTGTTTTCTGTTTTTTTGAATTTGATTCTATTTTTAGATGTCACAGATTTTACAAATGAAAGAAATTATCAGGACGAATTGACGTCGACTCCATTCTCTAATAAGAGACATTCAAAAACAAATCCCAAAGTTCATGAGGGATATTACGCTGCCACCGATATATTGACAGTAAGTAAACATTATTTAGAAAAAAATTACAAAAAAAAAATTGAAAAAATAGAGAAAAAATATTTAAATTAAACAAACTCTTTAATTTGATGAAAAATATTTCAATCTTCTATGAGAAATTTAAGACTATGAATAAATAAAATTAAATAAATGGAAAATAAAGTCAATAGAAAATAAAATAATAAGAAAATAAACGAGAGAATAAAATAAGAGAATAAAGAGAGAATAAAATAAATAGAGATCAAAGTAAAAAGAGAATAAAATAAATAAGTTATTTGTTATCCTTAACTAGTTATTGAATATAGAATATAAAATTGTTTTCAGATTAAGCGAAGACAACAACGATCGACTTCGAGTTTATTCACTCCTCTTCAAATTCAAGACGGTATTCATTTATCGAATACAAATAATTCTTATAATATTCAACACGTCTCGAGACACAGGCTGAGAATTATGGATAAATTGGGCGAAGGCAGTTTCGGATTGGTAGGAATTTGAATTTAATCAAAAAAGAAACAAATTTTTTGTGAAATAAAATTTACATATATTTGAATTTTAATTGTTTTCTTTAGAAAAAATTTTTGAATTTATAATCTTAAATATTTTCCAAGTAAATGAAATTAAAAACTTAAATCAAATTAAAATTAACGGAATCTTAATTAAAATTAAAGGAATTTTTGTGACTAGGATGTTTTTAAGAATCGGAATATTTTCCGAATTAAATTTAATTAATGTTAATTAATTAATGTTTAATTAATTAATTAATTAATTAATTAATTGTTAATTAATTAATTAATTAATTAATTGTTAATTAATTAATTGTTTAATTAATTAATGTTTAATTAATGTTTAATTAATGTTTTAATAATTAATTAATTAAATTATTTTTAATATAAGTTTAAAAAAATTCTTCAAAGGATTCAATTAATTTGAAAAATTGTGATAACATTCTTTATAAGATTTCAATTATTTTCAAAGCAATTTTAAAAAAATTTCTCGAAAAATTCAATTATTTTTATAATTAATTAAATTCTTCGCAGGAATTCAATTATTTTCAATACAATTTATAAAAATTTTCGTAATAATTTAATTATTTTCTCAAAAATTTTTAATAAACTTCGTGGAAAGAATTCAATTATTTTCCTAAAGAATAAAAATCTTTGCGGGGATTCAATTATTTTTAATATCGATTTAAAAAAATTCTTCAAAGAGTAATTTGAAAAATTGCGATAAAATTCTTTATAAGATTTCAATTATTTTCAAAGCAATTTTAATAAAATTTCTTGAAAAATTCAATTATTTTCACAATTAATTAAATTCTTCGCAGGAATTCAATTATTTTCAATACAATTTATAAAAATTTTCGTAATAATTTAATTATTTTCTCAAAAATTTTTAATAAACTTCTTGACATAGGATTCAATTATTTTCCTAAAGAACCAAAATCTTCGTGGGGATTCAATTATTTTTAATATAAGTTTAAAAAAATTCTTCAAAGGATTCAATTAATTTGAGAAATTGTGATAAAATTCTTTAAAAGATTTCAATTATTTTCAATGCAATTTTCATTAAATTTTTTTGAAAAAATTCAATTATTTTCAATATAATTTTAATAAAATTTCTCGAAAAAATTTAATTATTTTCGTAAGTATAATAAAATTCTTTGCAGGAATTCAATTATTTTAAATACTATTTTATAAAATTTTCGATAGAATTCAATTATTTCCTTAAATTTTAATAAACTTGTTGGAAATAATTCAATTATTATTTTCCTAAAGAATAAAATTCTTCGCGGGGGATTCGATTATTTTCTATATAATTTTAATAAAAACTTCTCTAAGTAATTTCAATATTTTCAAAAATTATGATAAAATTCTTTGTAAGAATTCAATTATTTTCAACAAAATTTGAATTATTAAATTTTTTGAAAGATTCAAATTATTTACAATGTAATTTTGATAAAATTATAATAATTAATAATATTAATATAATAAAAATTTAATAAGAATTAATCTGAATTAATTATACAATGCAAATACAATATTACTTAAATTTTTCGAAAAAAAAATATAAATATGTTTTCTAATTAACAGGTGCATTTATGTGAGGCGAAAGGAGTTCAGTGTCCAGATTTAAATTCAGTTCGTAATCGACAAGTCGTGATAGTGAGATCCTTATGGCGAGGCGTTACAGACTCCTTAAAGTGAGATTTTTTTATTTAAATAGTTTAGTTATACTTTTTTTAAAATTATTCTTATTTAATTAAATAGTTTAATTTTCGCAAAATTTGCATTATTCAAATTTAATTAAATAATATTTCTATATTTTAATTTTAATTATTAAAAATTTAATTATATACAATACAGAAATTTTAATTTTAATTACTAAAATTTAGTTAAATTGTTCACTAACATATAATACAGAAATTTCCATAAAAAAATCCTTCATTCGGAATTTTAGTATTTTAATATAATTTTTTTTTTTAGGAAAGATTTCATGAAGGATATGCACGTTCTGGCAGCCATTCGAGATATTAATGTAGCTAGAATAATAGCTCTAGTGGAAGAGGAACCATTCGGAGCTGTTTTTGAATATGGAGAACTTGGAGATCTTCCATCGTTTATAAAGAGCCGCGAAAGTTCCAGTGACGATGCGCCGTTAAGGTATTTATTCGACTCCTAATTTAATTTCAAATAAAATTCTTAATTTAAAAACTTTTAAAGTCAATTTATTTTAAAATTAAAAACTAATTCAACAACAATTAAAGAAAGAAGCAAATATTCAAAATAAAACTGTTAAACTGATGAAGAAAAGAAAAAGTGACAAATTGATAAATTGATAAAATAAAGAAATAAAAAGAAAATTAAATAAAATATAAAAAATATAATTAAATATAAAAATACTATTTTTTTACAGTTATGCGTGTCAATTGAATTTCGTGACTCAAATAGCTTCAGGAATGAAGTACTTGGAAAATTTAAATATTCCCCACTGCGATTTAGCAGCGAGGTAAGAAAATTGTATTTTTTTTTTTCTTGAGAAGAAAATTAATTTTTCGAGAATAATTATTTTTTCGAGAATAATAAAAAGAAAGTGTTGTTATTCTTTTTCGAAGGGGGATTAGAATAAAGCTCGCAGGTCTTTGAAGTCCATTGTGCTCGCTCTTTCTCTTTCTCCTCTATAGATATATACTATATTATTTAGAATTCCCTCTAAGCCACGAAGTTTGCAAAAGCGGTTTTACTGCAAAAGCAGAATTTCTCCGCCGAAACTCTAGATCTGAGCATCCTTAATCTTGACACTTTATGGTAGGGAAGCTGTATAAAATATGGATGGAAGTTTTGACTTCCATCTTGCACGGTTTGCGAACCAAAGTTCGGTCCAGTCTTATACTTTATGCATATAGTCGGATAGCATAATAAATCCAATGAACTTGCTTTAGATCTACAATTTCATGACATTTTCGACGGAGCACTTTTTTTCAGTAGGCAAAAAAAAAATGTAATTATTTTTTTTATTTTTTTCTCAAATGAAAAAAATATGTATCTTTAACAATTGTTTTTTTCAAACCAGGGGAAAATTAACTACAGAAAGAAATTTTGTAAAATTTGAAAAAAGCTTGTTTTAATTTCAAAAGTAGAGGGGAATTTAATTCAATTTTATAAAAAGCTTGTGAGGAAAAATTCTAGAATTTAATTTAGATACTGTTTTTTCAGTAGATTATTTTTTTTGGTATTGAAATTAAAAATTTGTGCTTTTTCCCTTCTTGACGAATTTAATGAAATTGTTATTGTTTCTTTCAGAAATTGTGTCGTGAGTAAAAACTTAATATTAAAAGTGTCTGACCACGCCATGTACTGTAGCAAGTACGATCAAGAGTATTACGTAAATGGATATTACGCGAAAGTACCTCTTCGCTGGATGGCATGGGAGGCAATTTTGTTGGTGAGTTTTCCAAAAAACTGCTCTTGTCTCACTTTTATTTTTCAAAAACAATTCCAAATAATTGTAATAAAATTCTTTAGTCAATTTATAAATAATAAAAAATCTTCGTAAAAAAAATTTAATTACTTTTATATAAATAATAAAATTATATTAGGATTTCACTTATTTTCAATACAATTTTAATTGAAAAACAAGCAGAAAATTAAATAATTTTAATTGAAAATTTTCAAAATAATTGAAACTGTAAGAGACATTTTATTAAAATTATCTTAAAAAATAATTGAATTTTTATTAAAACTCTTGAAAATAATTGAATTTAAATAATATTTTAAAAAATCATTGTATTCTTTCGGAAAATTTAATTAAAATTGTATTGAGAATAATTGAATTCCTCGGAAACATTTTATTTATGAAAATAATTAAATTCCTATGTAGAATTTTATTATTTATGAAAATATTTTAATTTCTGCGAAGAATTTTCTTATTTATGAAATTAATTGAATTCTTACGGAGAATTTTACAAATCATAAAAATAATTGAATTGTTTCGAAGAATTTTATCTGAATTTTGGAAAATAATTGAATTTTTTGAAGAAATTTTATTAAAATATTTTGAAAATAATATTTTAAAAAGAATTTCATCAAAATTGTTGAAAATAATTGAATTTATATTAAAATTCTTGAAAATAATCGAATTTAATTAATATTTTTTAAAAATAATTGTATTTTTTCGAGAAATTTTATTAAAATTGTATAGTGAAAATAATCGAATTGCTTTAAAGAATTTTATTATTTATGAGAATAATGAAATTATTGCAATAAATTTTATTAAAATTTTTGAATAATTTTAAACAAGAATATTTAATATTATTTACTTAATAAGTGAATTTTAAAAATTTTAAATCTGTAATAATTGAAAAATTGATGTTTAGTTTTGAAAATATAAAATTTTTTAATTTACAAAATAATAAAAAAGGGAATACCGCATTCCGCTCTAATCATTTGCTAGTTCAAATAATAAAAAGTATTTGTTTTCTTCTTTTGTTTTTTTTTTGGAGAAAACAAAATTGAATAAAGAAAAAAGAAGTTTATTTTCTTCTTTTATTTATTTATTTATTTTTTTGAAAAAACAAAATGGAATAAAGAAAGAAGAATCCAAATATTTATTTTCTTCTTTTATTTTTATTAAGAAAAATAAAATTGAAGAAGAAAAAATTGAAATATTAAATTAAATATTTATTTTTCTGCTTTTTATTTTAGGGAAAACAAACTTGCCAAGCTGATGTTTGGTCCTACGCTATCACGGTCTGGGAGATTCTTACTCTCTGCAAGGACATGCCATATTCTGATTTTACATCAGAGCAAGTCTTGGAAAATTGCAGCAAGTGGTATCACAGCGGAACCGTGGAGAAGAGTCAACCTCGTATACTTTCGCAGCCTCAATCATGCTCCAGGGATTTGTATCATATGATGACAAAATGCTGGAGCAAGCACGCCGAGGAGAGGCCGACATTCGAGGAAATTTGTCTCTTCTTAAAAAGATTGGGCTTCGATTAAAATTGATAAAAAAAAAAAGAAATAATTTTTATCGTTCGCTCGAGCAGCGTGGACCAAATTGTTTAACAATCAGCTAAGAGGCATCCTACCTTCCCACGAAAGAGCCAGGCAGGATGCTCTAGCCATCAAATTATGCTCAACTAGGTTAAAACCTCTTTCTTCTAAGACTCAAAAAAAACGAAAAAATACTTTTAAGGTAACGCGTATGAATTTAATAATTAAACTTGAAAGAAAGATCTCTTCAGTATATTTTTAATCTTTATTTCCTACGCGAGCGAAAATTTCCCCTTTATTCAATTTTTATTTTTGCTTTTACAGCGAAACCTATTTTTCAAGTAAAATTAATCCTTCAAATTTAATAGAATTTTGAAAAGAAAATACTAAAATAATTTATTAAAGACAGAATTAAAATATTCCACTTTAAGGAAAAAGAAATGTTTAAAGAAAATTAAAGAAACAATCTTTTTTTTTTGAACGAAAGTTTCTTTCCTTTTTTTGTTGAAAAAATATACAAACTGAAGAGATCTTTTTCTAAAGTAAAGAGTCAATGTTCTTTACGTCTGTCGATAAAATGGAAAGCGAGCAACGACAATAGAATACGAAATTTTGTGAGTTTTTTTAGAAATTGCTTCAGTCGGGAAAATTAGAATGTAAATGAAAGTAATTGAAAAACTTTAATTAAAAGAAAAAAAAGAAGAAAACAAAATAATTTTCTAAGCGCGTTGCTCGTTTTCAAATAAAGGGATCCCTTTGAATCCTCAATTCACATATCTTCGTTTTCATTCCTCAAGATGTATACTATTATTATTACGAGTTCAAAAAAAAAGAATCTAGTAAGGTATATTAAATTTTTACAAATCCCCCCCAATAGTACTAATAATATTATTGGTAAAAATTTAAAATTAAGATAACTTTGTAATGATAATGAAATGTGTAATCTAAAGTATATATTGTATATTTAAGTGGACCTCTGTAAATTGTTACTCGACATCGACACGTAAGAAACTTAAAAAATAAGAAAACTAGTTTTCAACAAAACTTGAAAATTTCCATAAAAGAAAAATGAGGATTCTCGTTCAATTCGTTGTTAAAACGAATTTACAAAACAAAAGTACGTATATTCCAAAAATATGTTGTAAATTTTTAAAAAATTAATAATAATGCCAATAAGAGTCAAGATAGGCAAAAGTCGAAAGATGGTTTATTAATGTAAATTTTCAAAAATAGATTAAAATAATTTTTTCATCTCTGATTATATAATTTACCGCAAAGAGAATATTCTTAGAAATAACATTTATTTAAACAATCAAAAGTCTTTTGCTTATCTTAATTCTAAAATTACGAGACGTCGTAGATATCAGAAAAAAAATCAAATCCGATCAATGATAAATTGATCCAATCATATCGAAATGGAAAAGAAAAAATTTTCTTCTAAGCTATGTACCTTTCTTTTCGCAATCATATATATATATATATAAATTATTACAACCGATATTTATTTAAATAATTGAACGTCAATCAAGACAATCAAATTTTTGTGGATATGATGAAATCGTCGAAAAATGAAGTCTAAAAGAAATTTATTAGAAATTGTAAACAAAGGTACTTTATTAATGCGTTAATATCTATATTTTGTTAATTTGTTTGCTGTACAAAATGCGCATATTTATTATATAGGGGAAAAAAATTACAACAACCATAAAACGTAATTATCAAGTTTTTCTCAAACATTGTTTATAAATTATTGCATTTAGTGAAGTATAAAATGAACAAAAGGAGAAAAAGATGTGGAAATGAGAGAAAAAGCATTGGAAACGCGTGCAATTTTAAATTACTAGTCCTATCAATTTTTATCAAAACGATTCGTAGATCTATAGCTACCATAATCCAAATTTGTAACATGAATTATCATATTTCATCGAAAATTATATTCTTCATATTTCCAGTGTTATAATCAATAAAAAAAAATTGTTATACCGTGTCAATCGTATTTTCTTTCTTTAATAAATAAAAACTAATTGTATATTACGTTTATGTATTATTGTATTTGTTTTTTTATTTTATTTATACAAAAATGTTTATTTCAAATATCAAATTCAATTTATTGAATAAATTGAGAAATAAATACAAACTCAAAGTTAAGAAATTAAATTTTTAACTAATTAAAAATTATTTATATTGAATTCTCCGAAACAATTAAATTATTTTCAAAAATTCTAATCAACTTTTTGGAAATAATTTAATTATTTTCATATAAACAATAAAATTCTTCGCCGAGATTCAATTATTTTCAATTCAATTTTAATTAAATTTTTTTTAAAGAATTTAATTATTTTCAATAAAAATTTAATAAAATTTTCAAAAGAATTTAGTTATTTTCATAAAAAATAAAATTCTTTGTGGGAATTCAATTACTTTCATGGCAAGTTTAATAAAATTTCTGTAAAGAATTCAATTATCTTCAAAAATTATGATAAAACTTTTTCATAAGAATTGTACTATTTTCAATTCAATTTCAATTAAATTTTTTTAAGTATTCTATTATTTTCAATGTAATTTTAATCAAATTAAACAAAAAATTCAATTATTTTCATGAGAAATAAATTTTTTACAGGTATTCAATTATTTTTAGAAACAATAAAATTCCTCGAATGAAATAAATTATTTTCAATTAAATTTAATAAAATTTCTCGAAAAAATACATTTATTTTTAGAATTTTAATAAAATTCTTCCAAAGAAATCAATTATTTTAAAAACTATTTTAAACAAATTTTCTCAAAAGAATTTAATTATTTTCAAATAGAATTTCAATTGAATTCCTCGAAAAAATTCAATTATTTTCAAAAAACTTTCTTAAATTCATGAAAATATTCAATTTTTTTAAATTTAAATAAAATTTTTCACAAGAGTTGAGTTGATATCATAAATAATAAAATTTCTCGAAAGAATTCAATTATTTTAAAAAATTTTAATAAAATGCTTTGAGAGAAATAAATTATTTTCCATAACTTAAATAAAATTCTTCGATATAAAGATTACTAATATAGATTTTTATTTATTATACAGGGCGGATAGTAAAATTACTAATGTTTGAAAATAGATTAACAATTTTTATTTAACTTCGATTAATTTGTACATAAATATTTAAAAAAGTGTAGAAATATATACATGGGAAACATTTATTTTATAATATATACACCGAGTTTAAAAAAGGTTTTCTTTTTTAATATTCAAAAAACCTAATAAATAGGAAAACGTTGATCAATTTCCGTTGTCCATGCATGCAGACCTCCAATAATATCCTTGATTTTTAATTTACAATCCGGAAGTTTATTTTGTAAAATTTTAACCGCCTTTTGTGAATCATTTCCTCGTCTGCATAAAATGAAAACTGTAAAAGAATTTCAAATATAAATTATTGGAGAAAAGAAAAGAATTTTTTGATCTCTTTATATATTTAATTCATACTTTATTTTTTTATTTGTTTTTATTTTATTTTTTTTTTTATTTTTTTTTATTTTAATCTTTTTTTATTTTTGTTCATTTCATTCTTAATTTAAATACAAGTGAGAAAATACGTACCTCCCAAAGTATTAGAATCAGTTTTATCAATTTCATTTTGAATAATATTTAAACTCTTTTCTTTGTCAATAACGTTAATTGGTATATTAATCGATTTTTCTAATCGACAAATTTCAAATTCCTCGGCCGATCGAACGTCAATTAAAATATGAGACTTGGAAGACGATATCTCTCGATATTCTTCAACAGTAATTCTTTCGTTTTTCTTCAAAACTTTTAAATTTGGATTTTTATCCACTGCCTTTGCACCGCAAAATTCCTCGTAATCAATTAATTCACATTTTTCAGCAGTTTCACTGCAATAATTACAATTGGGATTCTTTTGACGTAATCGAACGTTTCGGAATGTTGTCTCCGTTCCATCGTACAACAGAAGACGACCAGAAATAACTCCTGGTAGATTTAAAATTATTTTTATAGCCTCCTGAGCTTGTAACACTCCAATTACGCCAACGACTATAAATGAATAGTTTTAAATATTATATATATTAATTATTAGCTTTTAAATAATTACTAATTATTTGGTTTTTAAATGATAATTTAAATTTAAAACAAAAAGGGAAAAAAAGGTACCAACCTGGACCGATAATTCCTCCATCGCTACAATTTGTCACAGATTCAGGGGGTGGAGGTTTCGGAAAAATGCATCTATAACAAGGTCCATTGTAATTATAGACTGTAAGTTGTCCTTCAAATTTTAACGCAGATCCTGATATTAATGGCTTTTTGCTTATAACACACGCGTCGTTTAATAAATATCTGGTTGCAACGTTATCAGTTGCATCCAATATCACATTGTAGTTTTCAATAATTTCCAAAGCATTCTCGCTTGTAATTTGAATCTTGTAAGGCGTTACTTTTACATTACTGTTATGTCTGAAAGAAGGTGACAAAATTGCTATCTCTCAAAACAATCAAATTTAGATAAATAAATATATTAATAAATAAAATAAAATGAATTAAATAAATTAAATACAATTAAATACAATGAAATAAAATAAAATAAATTCAATTCAATTAAATAAAATTAAAATAGATTATTAATTATATTATACAGATTACTAATTTTTTGTCACATTCTCTACCTGTTGAGGACAGTTTTAACTGACTCGACTTTTGGTAAACCGACATCTGAAAAGGAGAATAAAACTTGTCGATGAAGATTACTGATTTCAATTTCATCATAATCTATTATTCCAATGTGTCCAACTCCTGCACTCGCTAAATACAATGCAGCCGGACAACCAAGACCTCCAGCTCCAACAATTAAAATCGAGGCATTTTTCAAAAGTGCTTGGCCTTAAAATAAAATTCCAATTATTATTATTATTATCAATTAATAAAGAGACAATCATCAATATTATCAACATATTTTGTCTGGTAAATTTCTGAATAGTTATATACATACCTTTTACTCCAATTTCTGGTAGAAGAATTTGTCTACTGTACCTGGAAATTTCTTCATTATTTAGTCCATTATTTTGTAAAATTTCCTTTTTGCGTCTAATATCAGCGAGTTGAGTTTCCTTTTCTCTTAAAATATTCTTTAGAGATTTAATTTCTTTCAACAAATTCTTCTCTTCCATTTTCCAGTTCTTTCTCTTTATCAATAAATAGTTCACTTATAAATATCACTGCTATTTGTTGTTTTATAAATTTTCATCAATTAGTAGAGTATGAAAAATAAATATAATAATTTATGCAATACAATAAACATATAAATTATTATTTTCTAAACACCTGTTTATTTTTACCGATTTTTAACAATCAAAAGCAAAACATTGACATTTAAGGTTATGTTTTGCTCCATGTGCGTGAAGTGTGACGCGTTTTCAACGAAATGCGCCTTAATGAGAAAACGAACCGTATGTACTTGACTTTAATGTTTCTGGTTCGGCAAATAAAAACATAACCTATAAAGCACCAGTTCATCATCAATAATAGAAAATACATAAAGTTAAAATTGTTTTTCCGGCAATATTTTTATATAAAAAAGTTTTTATAATACTTTAATATCTAACTAGAATTTTCGATTTATCATTTTTTTAAGGGGAAAATGTTCAAAAAGTAAGCTCTAGACTATTTTTCTATTTAAATCCTCTATACTTACCTATATACATTAACTTTGTTTTTCTATAACAATTCTTTCTTTTTTAGATTTGATGAAAAAGATAGTGTTTCTGGAGTACAACAGCTAAAATCTTCTGTTCAGAAAGGAATTCGATCCAAATTATTGGAACTCTATCCTCATTTAGAAGGTTTCTCGGATCAAATTATTCCCAAGAAGGACTCATTCAGAATTGTAAAATGGTAATTTTTCTTGTTTAGATATTTAAAATGTTTCTCTTGATTTTTATTTTGATTAATAAAGGTTATTTGATTCTTTAAATTCTAGTCATGATCATATAGAAATAATGGTAAATGGTTCAGGAGAATTGTTATTTTTCCGTCAACGAGAAGGTCCTTGGTTACCAACTTTAAGACTCTTGCACAAATGTAAGTTAAAATTTTAATTCAATTATTAATTACAGGGTTTTTTTTTAAATTTAAATATATTAAAGAGAAGAATTTTAAATTGTTTAGATCCTTTCTTTCTTCCAAAGCAACAAGTGGACAAGGGAGCAATTCGCTTTGTTCTCAGTGGAGCAAACATTATGTGTCCTGGTCTAACTTCAAAAGGTGCACAAATGACACCAGTTCCAAAAGGAACGGTGGTTGTATCCTTTTAATTCAAACTAAATTTTATTGTTCTTCTATTGTTTTGCTTTTACCTAGAAATTTGAGTTTTGTCTTCTCTATTCTTATTTAATTAGAAACTTATTCAATATTACCAGTTTTTAAATTCTAATTTTTAAATATTGGGGAATCTGTTTTCGTAATGAAATTTTAAAATAATATTGCTCCTTAATTTTAAAAAATAGGCAGTAATGGCTGAGGGCAAACAGCATGCTCTTGCTGTTGGAATTACCACATTATCAACTGAAGACATGTAAGATAATTTAATTTCATGAGTTAAATTATTTTTAATTTATATTTTTTTATATTTATTATAATTTGTAAATTATTATTATTTTTAATTATCAATTTCTATATTAATACTCGTTGCATTTCGGTAGTTTGTTCGCAGTTTGAAATTGTTCGCTTTTTTGTTACCTAACTTTATAAATAATTTTTCTTTTCAAATTTTTTGAATTTTGAAATTAATATTTGCAAATAAAAAGATTTTTATAAGGAAGTTTATGTAAATTTTTAAAGAGTAATTGGATTTCGAAAATAATTCGATTATTTTAAAGAATTTCTTTGAATTTTTTTGCAAATAATGTAGTTTTTTAAATAATTCTAATTCAAAATTTTGAAAGTAATTAAATTTTATGAAGAATTGCTTTCAAGTTTTTAAAATAATCCTCCTTATTAATAATTGTAATTAAAAATTTGATTATTGAATTTTATGAAAATTTAGAGGAAATAATTGAATTCTTCTCAGAATTTTATTACAATTTTTTTAAACATTTTAATTCATTCGAGGAATTTTATTAAAACATTTTAAATAATTGAATTTTTTCGAAGCATTTTTTTAATTTTCTGAATATAATCAATTTTGTTAATAATTCTAATTAATAATTTTATTATTAAACATTATTAAAATTATTGATTGAATTTTGTTTTAAAAATCGCGTTTCTTAGTAATTGTATTTAAAAATTTTAATCTTGGATTTTATTACAATTTTCAGGAAATAATTGAATTCTTCTTAGAATTTTATTACAATTTTTTTAAATAATTGAATTCATTCAAAGAAATTTTATTAAAATATTTAAAATAATTGAATTCTTTTGAAGTAATTTTTTAATTTTCTGAATATAATCGATTTTGTTAATAATTCTAATTAATAATTTTATTATTAAATACTATTAAAATTATTGATTGAAATTTTTTTAAAAATCGTTTTTGTTAATAATTGTATTTAAAAATTTCAATATTGGATTATATTACAATTTTCAGGAAATAACTAAATTCTTCTTAGAATTTTATTCCAATTTTTTTTCAAATAATTGAATTCATTCGAGGAATTTTATAAAAATATTGAAAATAATTGAATTTTCTCGAAGTATTTTTTTAATTTTCTGAATATAATCGATTTTGTTAATAATTATAATTAATAATTTTATTATGTATTAAATTTTATTGAAATTTTTTAAAAAAATCTTATTTGTTAATAATTGCATTAGAAAATTTGAATATTGGATTTTATTACAATTTTTAGGAAATAATTAAATACTTAGAATTTTATTACAATATTTTAAATAATTGAATGTTTCCAAAAATTTTATTAAAATTGTACTGAACATATTTGAATTCAAGGAAAGAAATATATTGTTTATGAAAATAATTGCATTCTTGTGAAGAATCCATTAAAATTTTTGAGAAATTTAATTAAAATTGTATTGAATATAATTGAATTTTCATAAACAATTTCTTCAAAACTTGAATAATTGAATTTTATTATTTATAAAAATAATTGAATTGTTGCAAAGAATTTTATTATCTACAATTTTTTAAATTAATAAATAATAATATTAATTAATTATTATGTAGCTAATAAGTGAATTTTTTCCAATTTTAAATCCGAAATTATTCAAAAATTGAAGTTAATATTTAATTAAAAATTTATTAATTTGCATAATAATAATAGTAAATAATAATAAATGAAATATTACGGTTTATAAATAAATATTATATTAATATTTCTAATTATCATAATAAATTGCAGAGCCAAAGTTAATAAAGGAGTAGGCGTCGAAAATTGTCACTATCTAAACGATGGACTTTGGCAAATGAAGGCTGTGAAGTAAATGAATTTGTACTACCGAAAATTTCAGAAGATTAATAAAATTTTTTTATTTTGAAATTGTATCCTCATATTCTTATTTTTTAAACACATCATTTTTTTTATGCGAAAACATGTTTTTATAGATTACACACAGATTGTTAGAATTAGTTTTCTTATATTATAATAATAATAAAAAAAAGAAAACTAAATTTCATTCCACTTTTTATTCCATTCAAAGAGAAACAATAATCATTCAAGAGTTATCGTCAAAATAAATTTCATCATCATTAATTTCATTACAATGTTTCACAAACGTTGCGTTACTTAATCAAATACAAAAAAAAGTGATAAGAATTTTTATCACAAAATTAAAATTATTTATTAAAAATTAATGGAAGTTTGAAAGCAAAAATTGAAAACAAAAACCCAGCAGAAAATCTTTATATACCCAATATACTTTTTTTTTTAAATCTATACATTTAATTTTCTAGATTATTGATAGTTGAATTTTCGTCTCACAATGCAAACAAAAAAATCTCGAAAACTGATTTCAATTCAGACATGAGGATTTTGATTTAAAAGAAATCAAAATGATTTAAAATTTTTCTTCGCTTGTAAATATCTTTATTTTGGAATTACTGAAAATGATTTGTCATTATTATTTAATATTAATTATTATTGAAAAAAAATGAATCGATTATTTAAAAATTTTCAATTTTTGTTTCATGTCCAAAATTGAGATAATTTTTACAATTCGAACTATTAAAAAAATGCAATAGAGAAAGAAAATTGAAGCAATTTAAGAATTAGATTTACCGTCCGATTGTCCATCGCCGGGACCATCGGGTGGAATTGGTCTTTCATTATCATTGTGCATTGGACCTGAATAATTGGGATTTCCACCATCGGCGTTTGGTCCTGAAGCATTGCTCATTGCTGGATTGTTGGCGGCACTGCTGTCGGCGACACCGTGAGACGATTGAGGATGATAGGGACTGTGAGGATGGTGTGGACGTCCCATGGCGTGCGAAGGATATTGGGAGTAGGGTTGATGATAGTAAGGATGAGGATATTGAGGATAGGGTTGATGATAGGGCTGTTGTTGCGAGTAGCCGTAGGAAGGATGCGGTGGTCTGGGTGCAAGAGGAACATTCTGTGCCTGTTGACCACCGGGAGGATATTGTTGTCCGTATGGTTGATTCGGGGGAATCATGGGTCCGGCGTGAGGTGTTGAGGGCGCGCCTGCAGTGGAAATAACTGGAGGCGCTCCTTGAGGACCAGGTGGATGAGGTGGCATGGAGTGATTTGGAATTAGTCCTGGTGGTTGATGTGGAGGATGTTGCATTGATGATGGAGGAGGGGGAGTGGGTGTGGGAGGAGCTGGAGCGGTTGTTGTTGTGACGGGTTGCTGAGGTGGTAGTGGTTGCATTTGTTGTGGTGGTGGTTGCGGTGGGAGAGATTGCTGGGGTGCTGGAGGAACCTGCTGCTGGGATGTTTGTTGAGATGGTATTTGTTGTTGTGGTTGCTGCGGTGGTTGTTGTGGAGGCAGCGATTGTTGAATCTGTTGAGACGATTGTGACTGTTGCATTTGCTGAGGTGGTTGTTGTTGTTGCTGCTGCTGCTGTATTTGTTGGGATTGCATCTGTTGTTGTTGTTGTTGCATCTGCTGCGGTGATGGTTGCTGTTGCATTTGCGATGGTTGTTGGGGCATTTGCTGCGATGGTTGTTGTTGTTGCTGCAATTGCTGTGGTGGTGGTTGTTGTTGCATCTGCTGTGGTGGCGGCGGTTGTTGCTGCATTTGTTGCGGTGTTGGCGGTTGTTGTTGCATTTGTGGTGATTGCTGTTGCATCTGCGGTGTTTGTTGTTGTATCTGCGGTGATTGTTGTTGCATCTGTGACGATGGTTGTTGCATTTGTGACGATGGTTGTTGTATTTGTGATGCTTGTTGCATCTGTGATGATGGTTGTTGTATTTGTGATGGTTGTTGCATCTGTGATGATGCTTGTTGCATCTGTGACGATGGTTGTTGCATCTGCGGTGATGCTTGTTGCATCTGCGGTGACGGTTGTTGCATCTGCGATGACGGTTGCTGCATCTGAGGTGATGGTTGCTGCATTTGCGGTGATGGTTGTTGCTGCATTGCTTGAGGTGGTTGTAATTGATGCGGTTGCTGTTGCTGATGAGGCGGAACCATTTGTGCCTGATTTTGTGGTGGCATATGGCCTTGAGGATGTGAATTGGGATGAGTCATTTGTGATGGTTGCTGAAGTGTTTGAACCATGGGAGCAATTGGAAAACTTGATTGTGAAGTTGGTTGCGTATTCATTTCAGTTTTTACTTCCATGTATGGTGGCGATGGTGTGCCTTTCTTTCGCTCCGATTTTTCAGACTCAACACTCTTCTTGTCCGTTGATTCATTTTCAGTTTGCTGCAATAATTTTCGCTTTGCTCTAAATTTATATTTAGTAAAGTTCTTATTTACGTGTATATATGTATATAATTTTATACACAATGATATTTACATTTTTAATAATTAATAATGAATTAAAAAAATATATTTATTTTTGAATTTTCCCAGAATTAATATTAATTAATTAATTAATATTAATAATATTAAAAGTGTATAAAATTATATACCCATATATGTGAGAAAAGTTGATGGTATTTTTGAATGTAGAAGAATAAGGAATAAGGAACAAGCTTACATCTACTGTAGATTCTTCAGCTACAGTTGCCGGTGTCGGTGTGGGAGTTGAAGTTGGCGTTGATTCACTAGATGCTGGATCACCGGATCGATTCTCTTCTGTACCTTTTAATCGATCACGTCGAAGGAGATCATATTGTCGTTCCACCATTTTGTTGAATGCTTCCTCATCCACCGCAGGTTTGCAATGCTGAAGGAATAAATTTTTAGAAATATTAAAAACTCAAAATTCTAACTAAATATTCGCTTTTAAATAAAATCAAATTTAAATTTCTGAAGAAAATAAATTTAGTAATAACCCTTTTTAGTTCCTCTTGAAACACCTCACTTGCTTCAATGAATTTTCTCTTTTTTGCCTCGTACTTTTCCTCAATTTGTTGAAGTTCTGCTTCCAACTTTTTCTGAAGTAAATAAAATTTCATTAGTATAAAATTACCACTTTTCCTTGACCAATTCTACTTTCTCTGATTTTTCCCTGAATTACTTGATATGTGACAATCCTTTATTAGTATTAATTAGCATTAGAATAAATTTATGTCACCTGATGCATTGTGAGCGATTGAACTTGTCGACGAAGAACTTGCATTCGATGAGTAGTGACAACGGATCGCACATCGGGGACCACAGTGTCACTAAAAATTTCGTTGATAAGTCGATGATTACGGGTGTAGCGAGAGTAAGCCACATGCTTCACCGTGTATCCGTCATCTTGATCTGTAAAATATTTTTTAATTTTTAAAACTACTATTGTATAAATTCAATAACTATTTATTTCAAATAGATTTTCGAAACCACTGACCATCTTCATCTTCAGCTGGTAGAATATCAATTCGTCTATCCTGAGCTGCTTGACTTTTACTGCTTCCAGAAGAGCGATCATGACTTTCGCGATCATCATTGTTCTGCTGCGCTGCACACAATGCTGACATAATAAAAAATGTAACTTAAAAATCCCTTAATCTTCTTTGTATGATTATAATATTCTAATACCGCATAAATGATAATTACCAGATTTTCCACGATTCTTAGCTGCAATATAAGCTAAATAAGCTGAAGAATTGTGATAAGTTTTCAAACTCTTTTCGTATTCAACTTTTTCTATTTCATATTCTTCGATGAATTCTGTCTTTCCAACTTCTGGCAATTCTCTCCACATTTGTCCGATAATTTTTCCTATTTCCCATAATTTTAACTCGGGATGTTGAGCTTTTACTTGATCCCATACTTTTCTGCTGTATCTCATGTAGGGCATAAGTGGTTTCTCTGGAGGTTTCGGCGGTTTAGGAGTCCTTGAGTCGGCCTGTTTGGAAATATTATTTTAAGTATTTTTCTTAACTTTTCTTTTCTTCTTCAAATTATTTGTTTTTTTTGCAATTTTTGTGTTTAATTTTAAAATACTTACAGCCGTATTTTTTCCGACTTTCTGAGGAGTAAAACCTGGATGTCCATGAGGTGTTTGAATAAAAGGACTCTGTGCATCTTTCTATAAAATAAAAATGTTATTCAAAAATGCATTCTCCTAGTTATTTTTTTTGTCAAATACAGTATTTTTAAATATAGAATTTATCATTTTCCAAACAAGAATTAAGAAACTTACACTTGAATTTGAACTGCTGCTTGTTCCACCAGAAGCACGAACTCGTTCTGTAAGTTAATGAAAAAAATATTAGAGGGAAAATTCAATATTAACAATATTCGATATAGAGGAATTTTCATAAGCAGTTTCAGTCAATAATCTTTCTACTTTATGATGAAGTATTTATAAAAAATGTACATACGATTCGTGGAAACAATGGTAGGCGTAGTCATTGACACTTGTTTATAATTCGCTGGTAAAGCCATTATGAAAAGTTAATGGAACTTTTCAGTCTAATGAGATTTACCAATTACATCAATCTCTGAAATAGTAATTTAACAATTAAATTTCTAATTCGTAAAATAAAACGCTAGCGAAAATAAAAACACTTATAAAAGTATAGGAATAATTATCTTATATAGCCTTAATAAGTAAGGTTAGAGTGAATCTTGAAAGTTTTAGCATCAAAAATTGTCAAAAAATAGACTCCTAAACTATGAAATAAAGTGAATTTTCATAAACGTAATTATTTTAAAATCTGACAATTATAAAAGTAATTGAAAATACAAAATTTCAATAATTTTTTTTTAAAGCGTCAGGACATCGTCTATAGACAGAGGGGCGGATTGATTTTCTAACAAATAAAGTACTTCTTAAAATAATAATTCTAGAACGAAAATGTAATACTCACGAAGATTGTAACTTTTCACACTATATTTTTTTTTGTGAACTATATTTAAGCACAATTTTTCTTTTACATTATATTTTAGACGATAGAAATTTAACGCTTAAATATGAAGCGAACACATTGACATTAATATGTGTGAGCGGCATTATGTGAAGTTCACACTGCATTGACGTAACCTTAACAATAGTCCACATGAAACTACAAAGATCAATATTTTCCAAACAGGTAATAAATTCAAATAGAATGTTTTGATTGGATAGAAATTCTCCTGCTGTTTTTTGTCCATTTAAAACATCGGTCATTGACACTTGTCTGCTTCTTTTGTTTACATCGAAACTGTCAAAATGAAAGGCGTCGAAAGGCAATTTTCGTGCAGAGAACAAAGAACCAGTGCATTTAGCCATTGTCTCAACAATACAACATTTTAAACGAAGACAATAATTTACTCTATACAAGTTTTTACGTCAATTTAAAATAATTAGTACTGTTGTCAAGTGGAATTTCGAGTTTTTTTTCATTAATATCACAATGTCAGGGAAGCCTTCTTCCCTGACAATGAACTCAATTAAAGGAGAATCTGAATTACGTTTTCTTCAAAAAGATGCCTCTGTAAGTGAATGCAGTATTTCCAGTATTGCCTCAACATTATCGGTATCACAAGATGAAAATTTTCGTGTATCAAAGCATGCGGAAAATAGTCTCAAAATTATGGAAGAGTATCTTCAGAAACAACAACTTTGTGATGTTACTCTCATAGCTGGTGGGTATTTTTTTTCCTTTTTTAGAATATTAAAAATTAGCAAATGTTACACAAAAGAATTCAATTATTTTATTAATTAGTAAAATCTTTGCTAAAACTCAATTATTTTCAATAAAATTTCACGAAAGAATTCAATTTTTTTTTAACTTTATAATAAAACCTTTGCAACCATTCAATTATTTTTATAAATAGTAGAATTCTTTGCTAAAATTAAATTATTTTCTAAAATTGTAATAAATTCTTCGAAACAATTGAATTATTTTTTTTCAATTCCTTGCAAAAATGCAATCATTTTTAATACAATTTTAATAAAAAATTTCATGAAGGAATTCTATTTAAAAAAAATTTTTAATAATATTTTTCGAAAAAAATTATTAATATTAATATAGAATGTTGAGTTTCAGTATTGAAATTATTTTAATTAATTTTATTATTATATTTTTATTTAAAGGTGGAAAGCGTTTTAATGCACATCGTTTAGTTTTGAGTGCAGGTTCGGAATATTTTGCAGCTATGTTTACGAGTTCAATGAGAGAATCTACTCACAATGAAATTGAATTGAAAGGAGTTGACGGCGATGCTTTATGGGCTTTAGTTCGCTATTGTTATACTGGTAATAATTTTCGTTCTTTTCGAATTTTTCCTTTTTTTTTAAGAATGTAAAAACTTTTTAAAAATAACCAAATTTTTTTGAAATGTTAATGAAATTATCAATTTTAGAAAAATAGAATAATTGATAAAAAATTTAATTTTTCAGGTTGTATAGAATTACGAGAAGAAAGTGTTGAAACTCTTCTAGCTACAGCTTGTCTACTTCAATTAAGTCCAGTAGTTGAGGCTTGTTGTCAATTTTTAATTAAACAACTACATCCGAGTAATTGTTTAGGTATTCGAGTTTTTGCCGAGACTCAAGGATGCACTCATCTTTTGAGTGTTGCTCACGCTTATACTACTGAACATTTTATGGAAGTAATGAGAAATCAAGAATTTCTCATGCTATCGGTGAATGAAGTGGCGAAATTATTCGAATCAGATGATCTCAATGTACCGTCCGAGGAAACGATTTTTCAAGCTCTTATGACTTGGCTGGATCACGATCCAATTGATAGAAGAAAAGATGCAAGTAGATTGCTGGCTTTAGTGAAATTACCACTGTTATCACCAGCTGTGAGTAAATTCCAATTATTTCAAATTTTCTCTATAAAAAATGTAATCCTTATTTTTACTTTTTGAATTTTTACACTATTTCTTTTATTCTTTTTATAGCAACTATTTCTAATTGGCAAATTTTACTATTTTTACAGTTCATTGCAGATCATATAGAGAGTAATGAAATATTCAGAGATCAACGTTCTCAGGATTTGGTAATGGAAGCATTGAAATATCATCTTTTGCCTGAACGAAGACCATTACTTCAATCGGGACGAACTAGACCTAGAAAAGCGACTGTTGGTCTATTATTAGCAGTGGGCGGAATGGATGCAAATAAAGGTTCTAAAAACTCAAACATTTTTTTTTTCTAAATAGAAAAAATATTCTATTATTATTGTTTTTAGGTTCAACCACAATAGATTCATTTTCATTGCGTGAAAATGCGTGGCGATGTTTGGCAAGTATGGGAGGAAGGCGTCTTCAATTTGGCGCTGCGATAATTGACAAAAAACTTATTGTCGCCGGAGGTCGTGATGGATTGAAGACATTAAATACTGTTGAATGCTTTGACTTTGCAACTCAAACATGGAGCGTATTACCTGCCATGACAATTCATAGACATGGTCTTGGTAATGTTTTATTTTAATTTTAGAATCAATCACGAATCATATAGACTTTTGAGAAGTAGTTAATTATTTACAAATTTTATTTTTATTGCAGGTGTTGCCGTTTTGGGAGGGCCTTTATATGCTGTCGGTGGACACGACGGATGGAGTTTTTTGTCAACCGTAGAGAGATGGGATCCAACCACACGTCAATGGAGTTACGTTTCACAAATGTCATCTCCACGATCTACAGTTGGCGTTGCAGTATTAAATGACAAGTAGAAAATAAATTCTTTTCTTTACTATAATTTTTCTATATACTATAATTACTTCTTATCTTTACTATATTTTTTTTCTTTTTATATTTTAATTTTTCTGTTCTTTTCTATCATTAATTATTTTCTTTTACTACATATTTAAATTTACTCTATTTAATTCTTTTTTTTTCACTATTTAGATTGTACGCAGTTGGGGGAAGAGATAATTGCTCCTGTTTAAGCACCGTCGAGTGTTACGATCCCCATACAAATAAATGGACATCTTGCGCTCCAATGTCAAAGAGAAGAGGAGGCGTTGGTGTTGGCGTTGTGAATGGCTATCTTTATGCACTTGGTGGGCACGATGCACCAGTTACTAATCCAAATACCAGCAGATTTGATTGCGTTGAAAGGTATTGTAATTATTTGCAATGAAACTATTCCCTTGATTACAAATATGAAATATTTTCTAATAATTTCAAATATGTACAATCGTTTCGATTTTCGATTTCAATTTTTCAAAATATTCTGAATGTAGATATGATCCTAAGACCGATACGTGGACAATGGTCGCACCAATGAGCGTACCTAGAGATGCTGTTGGAGTCTGTGTTCTCGGTGATCGCCTTTTGGCAGTAGGTGGCTACGATGGTCAACAATATCTTACATTAGTCGAGGCTTATGATCCTCACCTCAATGAATGGCATCAGGTAATAAAATTCAAACTCGAAGAAATAATAAATAAAGTCTATTTATACTTTTATTAAATTATATTTCTATAATTTAGATTTTATTAACTAAGTTAATAAATTTAAAATTATAAGTATTTTATATAATTTAAATTTTACTGAATTTTATTTGTACAATTTATATTTTACTGAAGTATCTAATATTAAAAAATTACTTCTAGGTTGCCTCTTTAAAAACGGGTCGTGCAGGTCCTTGTGTCGTTATAAAGAATGAATTGCAGCAATTTTAATCATTTTTTGCACTTGTAATTTCTCTTTATTTTCCCCAGTGCAAATTGACTGTTGTTTTTATTTATGAAAATTTAATATTTCTTTAGACATTTTTTTTTAATTAACAGGCACTCAATTTTTATTTAGATTGTCTGTTTTGTCAATAAGTAGAAAAGTTAGTACAACTAACATTTTTGTATTAGTATTATGATTTGCATAATTAATTCAAATTTTACAAGACATCGTTTTTTGTTAATTTAAGATTGTCACCTGGTAATGATAATTAATTAGTGATATACACTTTAACGAATGATATTATTGTACATGAAATTACGTCAAAATGACTATTTTAACATGTACTCATAGTTTTTATACCACTGCGAACAACTTTTGTATTTTTAATCAATTTGATTAAAATGATCTTTTTGTAATCGATTATAAAAAAAGTGTTTATTTCTTTTAAAAGTTAACTAGAAATAATAGCATTAATTTAAAAAAGAAATCGAATTAATTGTTTTGTTTACTCGATTCAAAAAAGGAAAGGAAAAAATGCATTTTTTCAGAAATGTGATTATTTATTATATACACATGAAACATCATATCAGTATTGAAGATTACCCAAAATAAATTACAAAATTCGGTTATAAAGAATAATTTAAGAAGGATTTTAAATATCAATCCTCTGTTTATATCTCACATTGCAAATATTTAAAGTTCAGCGATTATATTCTATACGTTCCTAGCAACTAAAATCAATTTGTTCAAGAAAAGAAGAGAAAAAATAACACCACTTGAAAATCAATAAATTTTCGTTATTTTCCAGTTGCACTTTGGAATTGAATGAAGCAAAAGTGTATTGAAAATACTGTATAGAGACTCCAAAGCACAGATATCGACAATGATTGCTACATTTCACACTTAAACTTATTTTTTTTCATTGCTTTAAGCAGCCTTTAGTTTTCTTTACAATATACGAGAATAAGTTTTCTTTCTTTATTTATTATCCACAAGTTATTCGTTAAGTATTTTATTCCGTTAACAGGCGGGGAATGTTCTGAAAAAACATTTTATTTATTAATTAATCATTAGAGCTTATAATATATATTTCATTAATAGAAGAAAGAAAAATTACCGAGGAAAATCCGAGGCAGGTTCTGCAAATTTATGTCTGACCATAAATGTTGCAATTGCTTCGGCAACTTTATCTGGAACGTCTTCATGAACTGCATGTCCACAAGCTGGTAAAACTTGCATTTGGAACTTTCCTGAAATATTAATAATTTTACTGCTAATAAATCAAATCGTATAAAATAAATATAATATAAAAAAATATAAATAAAATAAATAAAATATATATAATTGAAATAAATTCGATAAAAACCTTGCATCTGTCCAACTGTAAGTTCTTTATCTAATCTATCGACTCCTGCGAGAAGTAACATTTTTGGAGCAGGTATATTTAAAAATGCAGCCGACAATCCTTTGAACCATCCAACCCAATGCTCCTCAGTCTTTGCTAAGTCTATTCGCCATTTATATTTCTTTTCTAAAAGTGAAGTGAGAACTTCCGGTGCTGGCATTGTTAGTGTCTCCTCTTCCTGTATAGTGTCTCCTCTTTGAACAGTTAAATTTGAACAACTTTCCGAATGAGTTGAAGTTAAAACAGCGTCGATATCATCAGTCGCCAACATTCCACTCACAGTACTAAAAAAATTAATTTATCAATTAATAATTATAAAATTGAAAAATTAAAATTAAATTAAAATTCTCATGGCTAATGAGAAGGTATTTTTATTGTTTAATCATCTTCATTGTTTAAAATGTTTACTGACTTTGTAATTTGTCCGGGAACTGATACCTTGGCGGACTGGACATTACGAATTTGGCCACTTCGAACACTGCAACAAAAAAATTAAAACAATTAAGTAAAAACATTTATTTTCCTGATGAGGGAAATAATTTAAAATAAATGGGATACTAACCACCACTCAATAGCTTGTGGTATTGAATCAAAGCCTTTTGGTCGTGATCTGAGAAAACTTTGCATTGAAGCTAAAGCATCCATTGCCGTTCCTTCAACAACATCAATTACAGTAATTCCTGCTAAATTTGTAAGTAATGGTGCCGCTCGTACAGCAACAGCACCTCCCATGCTATGACCGATTAATACAATAGGAGCATTATCGTCATATTCATGTATCACAGCTGCTACATCACTAAAAAAAATTTTCTCCATCAAACGAAAAATCCCCTCGAATTATCATTTTTCAAAAAAGAAATTTATTTACTCACTGTGCCAATGTCTCAGCACTCAGATTTTCATCATCAGTTGTTTGTGTATTTCCATGTCCCCTTAAATCTATCGCCAATATTCGACAAACAACCATTCCAATTATGGATTTCTGAAAAAAAAGAAATTTCTTTAGAGTTCATATCTTTTTGTAAAAATTACACATCACTGAATGAATTTACACGAAATTAAAAAAGGAATATACAGATAAATATAATAAATAAATTACAATTGTATACGATTTTGAGAAAACAAATTTTCTGAATATTTCGTGAATAAATTAAAAAAATTACCGTAAATTCAGCCCAAGTTAAGGCGCTATAACCTCCGCCATGCAATAAAACTAAAAGTGGTCCATCATCACCTTGAATGTAAATATGAAACGAATTATCTCCAATTTTAATTTTTTGCGATTCACTATAATATGTGGACCATTGTACTGGCTCGTAATCTCTTTTTCGCTGTAAAGCTCTGGACCTACAACCCCTAAAATGTCAAAGATAATAAACATCTTGATATCAAATTTAATTAACCTCCAAAAACAATGTACGAATAAATATACAAATAACAATCAAAATCACTGTAAAACAAAAAAATAAAACTTACATTTCCAGTCATTATTTAGAAATCAAAGAGAATATTATTATTCTTTCTAAACAATTATTTACAAAAATACTAACCCTGATGTAAATCCTAATTTTAAACCCGCGGGTGGTAGTTTTGATTTTAGCATTGATTTCTGGAGGGAAGACATTTTATTTAAATATCAATTCCTTTATTAATATTTCCTTGAACATTAATTATTAAATAAAATTTACTAATTTTAACACTTGGTAAAATCACTAAATCAAGTTGACAGTTGTAATGTGTTACGTGTGTGTGTATTTGTGTATACACGAGAATGCACCTTTGTAATCTAACCTAACCTAGAAAAAGTTGACCGATTCCATTCATTCATTGCGCATCTCCCTTTATTTACACCGGAACTACAATTTTCATTGGTCACTCAATTTATAGCGGTGATATTCAAAAGCTTTTATAATTTTTCTCCGAAAAAAATAGAAATAATATTTAATTAGCCAATATATTGATGTTCCATTATACAATATGTTTCATAAATTAATTAATTTTTAACAATTAAAAATTATTATTGTTAAAGAGTAAGTAAAATAAGGCAAATATTTAATAATAACGAATTGAAAATTTGAATAAAATGTTTAATTTCACAGATTTGTCATAGCCAATCAGAGAACGAGAAAATTTTCACAAGTCACGTGACCTAACTGAAAAATGTGAGGAAACTCCCTTCCGCTCACTTCCGCTTCCGGCCCGCTTTCAACGTCCACCGTTTTTTGATCACTGTAGATTTCTCTTCAAATTTGGTAAGATCTTGCAATTTTTCTGGTATATTTTTTAATTTCTCGATTATATATTTGTATGAGAGTCATTTGACGAGAAAAAATTATAATATTTCATTAAATTTTGTCAACTATGGACATTTTGTACTGTTGCCAGCCAAAAGTTTTCTTTGTTTCCATCATTATTATAAATGATAATTATATTTGTTTATTTTGTACGAAATATTTAATAGTAGGTACAAAATAAAATATATTTTATTATTTTAATACAATATATTTGATATTATTTTTTCTAATTTTTGTTTTATTCATTTGTGAAAAGAAAATTTTTCATTTGTCTAGGGTTGGTAGAACTGCGGCCGGTCGCCATCTTGTTTGAGAAATGCTACCTTCCGGCGACCACGCCCCATCGTTCACATCGAGCAGCAGATTTTTTCCAAATTTGGTAAGATCTCGTAATACTTTTGATATATTTTTGAATTTCTTGATTATATATTTATATTAGAGTAATTTGATAATGAGAAATACTCATAATTCGTAAAATTTGATCGCAAATATGGACATTACCATGTATGGTCGATTGTTGCCATGGAATAGTCCATTATGGAGTAAAAATTTTTTTCAATCTTTCTAGTATGTAATTATTTTTTTGTTTAGTACGAAATATTTAATTATTCACGTAATAATTAATTTAATTCATTAATTCATTTAAATAAAAGAGTCAAAATATAATAGCATATTAATTGATGAATAATCAGAAATGTAATAGGAATTGCAAACGGAAGTCGTATTCATATATGATTTGTCCAATAATTAGTATTTCCATAAAAAATTATTCATGATTAAGAGTTTATTTTGAGTCTATTAGTATATTTTTCGATTTTTCTTTGATATTGATTTATTTGTAGGAAAAAAGTTTTTCATTTGACTAAAGTATAGCGACTTGCAGCAATGGCCGCCGGTCGACATCTTTATGTCGCATTGTCGATAACATTTACTCCAAAAATCAGTCGAAGAAACGTTTTTTTTACAAAATTAGTAATTATTTAACTTGTTATTTGGTTAATATACAATTTCATGTTTCGATTCTAACAAATTCAGTGGATATTTGTAGATTGCGCGTTCAGGTAAGAATTTTTTTGTCGCAAATGTCAACACCTGGTGCAATAAAATTATGTATCATCGAATATTTTATCTTGAATATTCGCTTTACATATTTACGAAATTGTTTAATAATAATTGTTAATTATCTTTCTTCGAACATATATTTACTCCAAAGTAAAAAAGAAATTTTATTTTTTTCGTCAAATACATTGCGGTTCAACATAACCTCAAATTGAAAATGTTTATTTTGTGTTTTCAACGTTTTTTTTAAAGAAAATAATATAAATTAGTTTTGTTACATTTTGAGAAAGTTTTCAAAAATAATAAAAGAATAATTTTAAATAGGACTATTATTCAAATAATAAAAAACCAAAGAATGAAAATCAAAATAGATATTTACATCATTGAATAACAAATGGTTGTAAATATTTTTTTTCGAACATATTTACTTGAAAGCCTTGAAAGTAAAAAAGAAATTTTATTTTTTTTCATCAAATGCTTGAGGTTCAACATAACCTCAAATTGAAAATGTTTATTTTGTGTTTTAAAGAAAATAATTGGTTTCAATACATTTTGAGAAAGTTTTTAAAATAATAGAGAAACAATTTTAATTAAATTAACCTCAAAATTGATTTAAGAAAATGTGCCGATTACATTTTTTCTCATTTTTTATTTTTACGCTGTAAATAAAAAAATCGAAACAAAAAAAATTTTTGTTTTTTTTATTTGCAGTGCAAAAATATAAAGAAATGTGAAAAAAAGTTTTTGCACTTTTTCTCTATTTAGAATTTTGATTTCAATCATTTATATTGACACACTTTCTTTCTCTTTTTTTTTAGAAAAAAAACTGAAAGCTATTCTGAAAAAGGCAATCTCTTCCATATATGAAATTCTCCGATCGGTAGATATTTTATTAAAAGCGAAATAGAAAAAAAATTTACTATTATATTTTGAATTAAATAAAAAAGTATATTAAATAAAGTCATATAAAAGTATGTTTACAAAAATCAGTATAATTGCGACTTTTCACAAAATGTGAAAAAAAATTTCATGAGTAAATGAAATGGAGAAAAAAGTTTAGTTAGATTATTAGTCAAATATATTTCATTGCAAAATTTGCAAAATTTTATTGCAATTTAATTGAATTATAATTTTTTGTGCAAATTAATTGGTTTATAATTTTATTGTAATTCAATTGAATTATAATTTAGTTGCAATTTAATTGAATTTCATTACAGTTTAATTGAATTATAATTTTTTTGCAAGTTAATTGAATTATAATTAATTTCGAAACAATTTAATTGAATTACATCTTGTAATTTACAATTTAATTTCTTAATTCTAAATAAATATGATTTAAAATTTTCAGATTAAAAACAGAAGAAAATGGAGAGATATAATAATGACTGAGGTATTATTTCCGGTCTTTTTCGGAAAATGACGGATGTTTGGAACTTGACCCGTCAGAGCAATCACTCCAAATTGGGATCCCTCCATCTGTAAGTCTTTTATTTTAAAAATGAAAACATAATTCAATTACAATATAAAATTTAGTTTGAAAATTGAACAAAAATTAATATTCAGATAAATGAAAGTCTGATTTTTAAAAAATGTTTAATTGTTTAAATTTTTATAGTTTGATTATTTAATTTCTTTTATTTTATACATTCATGAATTCTGTAAATTTATAATCAATTCAAATTCATTTAATATTTTCGTGAAACTATTTAATTCATGAATTAATTACAAAATGAATTTAAAAATTATTTTACTAAAATGAAATATAATTTTTAATTTGATATATTTTTTATATATTTTTATTTATAGTTATTTTTTATTTACTATTTTACAATCAATTTTATTTTAATTTGAAGCAAGAAGTTTTCTTTTTTTATCAAAGTTTAGAGAAATGTTTGACTTTTTTTTCTTTCTCTTTTTTTTTTTTTTTTGCAAGACAATAAGTTTAGTCTGTCCTCTTGTGAATGTGGACTGAGATCGATCGTTCGTAATGCAACAGAATTTTTGGCAGAAACAAAAGCTTTCGTTTCTTTTCTACTTGTCCTTTGCTAGATGAAAAATGGGGATTCTCGATTTCCTGGGAGAACATTATTCACTACTTTTTTCCGACCTTTGTGGTACTGCCGTAAAGTACTTTGTTTCAGGTTTTGTCCTTTCGAAGATTTTTCACTCTTGCCATTTTTTTGCATTTGATTTACGCAAAATATTTCGTGTGTTCTGTTCTAACTAATAATTTCGAGTGCCATTTTTATTTATTCATTTGATTGTTCGAATTTTAAATTATTATTGAATTTAAATCATTCCATTTTAATTAGAATTTAAATCATTTAATTTAAATTAGAATTTAAATCACTTAATTTAAAGTAGAATTTAAATAATATTAGTATTATTATTTACAAATGTTATTTGTATTTTAATTTAAAATAATATTATTTTATTGCAATTTACAACTTTTATTTATATTTTAAATTTGAAAATAGATTACATTGTAAATTATAATACAAATAGTATTGTAAATTATAAAATTAATATTACAATTTAGTTTTTAGTTTACAATATTCAATCTACTAATTTGATTATTGGAATATTTTTCTTTTCTGATTTTTTAAATTTCTTTGGATCTTATAATTAAATTATGCAATATACGAAAATTGTAAATTATAAAATAAATAATATTGCAATTTACAATATTACTTACATTGTAAAATAATATTAGTAAATAATATTGCAATTTATAATATTTGTATACATAATTAGTTAAATTTGGAATTTTTAAAGTTCAAATTTCGCAGAATTATGATAGATGTTAATTATTGTCCAGTTCTTTAAATTTTTGAGAATTTAAATGATCATACTTGAAGTTTGAGAAGTTTATGTGAACCATATGCATTCTATACTAGTTGAGGGAATTTTGTGGACATTATGTGGCTACTCGTTATAATATTAATAGTTCAATACGGAATTTACCTAATATCATGAATTTACCATGAGATGAAACAATGTGTCAAATAATTTTTTTTTTATGTCTTTTCCTCTTTTTTTTCTTCTCATCAAAAATTCGAAAATAGGTAACTCACAATAATTACTTTGAATCGTTGGGATAAAATATTATTATTTTTCTTCTCTAATTTTTTAATTTCGTTTGGGAAAAAATTTTAAGTGCACGAGATATGAAATATTTGATCCCTGAATTATTCAAATTAGGTATGTTTGAATTTTTTTTAACTGATTATTATATGGTCACGCTTGAATTGTTCGTATACGACCTTTATATGGCAGCCGCAGACAGAGAGAGAAAGAGAGAGAGAGAGAGGGTTGTTTTTCATATGAGTTTTCGCATGGTGAATTCAACCAGTTTAGTAGCCAGTATTAATCTCCAGCAAAAATATGTGAAATATTTCCCCAGACCTCGTTTGTTTCCTCCTGTTATTTTGCTCTTGGACTGCATGTTTGGAGTTTTCAGAATACATATTACTATACAACAAGAAAGTTGTGCTTTTTGTGTAGTTAGTTTTCTTGGTTTTAAAATGAATTGTTAGGGAAGGAAATGAAAAAAAATTCTGCAAAAGAAATTGGCTTTTTTGTAAAATAATATTTTCTTTTATAATTAAAAAAAAATTATTTTTGAAATAGTGACGCTTTTATGATGAGAGATTTTTTTTCGTTGAGGTATTAAAAAATTGTCGATATATTCGAGTTTTTTTTTTTTAATGATGAAAAATATTTAATATTCGAGCGATTTAAAGGGAGATAAGTGTTTTCACTCTCCTGCTTTTTGATATTAAATTCTTAGAGTCCGTTACATTGGAGTTGTTGATTAATGGAAGACATTAATCAACCCACATTCGGTGTAAAGATGAATCTAAATATTTTGGCAGTCTTCGCTCTTTAAGGTGGATGGCATTGTGCATAAAAGCGATGCATAGTTCGCTGGACCGAATTATCGCTTGGAATATATAGTTTGAACGTTATAAGTTATGGGATCACATTATATGTAAAGTAGGATGTGTCTGATTCATCCATCTATCCATCCGCGTGGTTCAAAGAGAGAGAGAGAAAGAGAGAAATCATTAGTTTTGCGACCACGAGAGCGAGTATATGCTTCATTATGTTAATCCCCAGAATAATAATGATGAATTTTCATTGCGAATCGAATTAAATTTCTTGTATGATATTGTTCTATTATTTCTTTCTCTCTTATTAGACTCTCTGCTTTGATGTCTAATAAGAGAGTCGAAAAATTATTCTTGATGTCAAATTACAGTTCCATTGTGTTCAAAAATGGAACTTTTTCACGTGATGGGAATGTAAAAATAATTTTATTTTGTTTATTGAAGTTGGTATTAAAAAAATTGATTTTAAATTAGTTCTTGTGATTTTACCATCCAATCTGAGAATTCAATAGAGCGAAACTTTGTTGGCGAGAAGGTCGAATGTAGCGTTGAAAGATGTCAGCACTCATTACTTTTCAGAAATGTTTTTCAAAAATTTATAACAATGAAACATTTTTTAAAAATTTTCTTTTCATAACCATTAGATACAAACTATAAATTATTTATAAACTTCTAAAAGTATAATTTGAACAAATTAGTAATTGTTTATTAATTATTATTAATAGTAATCTATTACTAATAATATTGTGATTTAATTACAATTTATTTATTTATTTATTTATAATTAAAATTAATTTCAAAAATTAATTTTTTACTAATAACAATTGATTCATTAATAATAATTATAATTGATTAATCAATAATAGTTATAATTAATATTAGTTATTCTTATTATTAGATATTCTGATTATTATTAGATATTCTTATTATTAGTTATTATTATTGTTATTATTATATATTAATTATTATAATTGATTAATTAATAATAAATATAATTGGCTAATCAACAATGATTTTAACTAATATTAATTTTTGTTCGATTTAAATTTGAAATACATTTTTCTACTCTTAGGTATGAAATATAAATTATTTAAACTTCGAGGAAACTGTTTACAAATTAGTAACAAGTTTTTCTAGTGATATCAAATTGAGACAGAAAACGAATCAAAATGTTTTTGACACTTTTGATTCGTTTTTTGTCTCAATTTGATATCCTTAGAAAAATGTGTAAATGGAAAACAAATGTAAACGAAATTTTATCACTGAATGAAATTAATTATATAAATAAATAGAAATTAAATTTAATATTCTCTTTTTGAGAAAAATTAATGTTAATTAATTAATTAATGTCTAGAACAGATTTACAAAAAAAATATCGTAAGAATTAATAACTTTCAGTGTTCGTTTTGAAAAGTTTGAAATACTTTTATTTTGTATTGTTTTATTTTTACATTTTATACGCGGCTTTTCTTGAAAAGAATATCAATTAAAAACTTCCATTAGTTTGTTCGCAATTATTCGGTTGCAAGAGAAATTTTTTTTTTTCCTCTTTTTTATTATTAATTTTTCTGACAAAGGTAATATTTGTGACCTCAATTGTTTGAAGAATTCTGTGTTATTTACAGTGTATGAAACACGCTAACAAATCATTATTTAAATTTTTCTGATAATCGAAGGAAAAGGCTTGTTCTTAGTAAAAGGGAATTAAATGTGAAATTGTAACATGAACCCTTTTTCTTTTGCTTCCATTACTTTTTCTGATTAATGCTCTTTGTCAGATAGTTTTTTTTTATTTACGTCTTCTTTTCATTAATTAATAATAATAATAATAAAAATAATCAATAAATAATAATTTCTAGATAAAGAATAATATATTCTTTGTTAAAACTGTTTTTACAAAATAGTTCAATAATAATAGTAATATCATATAATATTACAAAATAATTAGTAACAATAAACAAAAAAAAATAAGAACAAACAAATAATAACAAAAATAATAGCGTTTAGATAAATAAATAAGTAAATAGTAAGTAAACTAAATAATACAATAATAAAATAAATAATAGTAAATAATAACAAATTCGGTGAAATTAATTGCTTAATTAGATTAGATAAAATTAAAATATCTTAAAGACAGTGATTAATAATGCAGTTATTAAAATTGTATTAGAGTTGATAAAAAATATGCATTTTGATTAAAATATTTATTAAAAAAAAAAAATGCCCTCAAATAAGATGCATTTTGAATATAGATTTTTTAAGCTCACATGACAAAAGCTTCAGTGAAGCGAATAAAAATTATTTTGTGGCTTTGTAACAGTGAAGCATAACCGTTTTGCAATATTAAGCACGATTCAGATGAGCGAGCAATAATCCACTGACAGATGTAACTATCCTATCGAGAACATGCAATACAATTGGGAAACAAGAATGAAGTAGTTTAATTTGATTAACTTTCATTGTAGACACGGATATAGAAAAAGAATGTATATATATAAAAATTGTACTAAAAGTAATAGAAGCAGAAAAAAATTTTTTTGCAATCAACGCTTGTTACATCGACACAAAAGAAAAACCGATTAAAATAATTCTGTATAGGATTAGGGAAACATTGGCTTACTGTCGATATAGGAGAAAATTGCGTAGTTGCTTTTATTTTATATTCATTATTTTATTATTTATTTCTCTAATCTTTATTTTTTCCTTTATCTCTTTATTATTGATTTTTTCCTTTTTTTTCTCTTCATTATTTTCAAATGAACAACAATATTTTTATTACTTCTTTTAATTTGAATTTTATTTACAAACTATTGTTTTTTATAATTAAAAGAAATATGTAATTAAAAATTAAGTTAGGCCTCGGATATTACGATTTTTTCGACTATTTTCAAATAATGCGACTTTTATTGACTTATATTAAAAAATTGCGACTTTTTCGACTTTGATACAAATTTTGCAACAAAATACCACATTTTTAGCATAAAATGCAACTTATTTCGATTCTTATAGTGTGAAAGGTATAGTTATAGACAAATCTTTGAAAAGTAATTTTTGAATAATTTTTCTAATTAGATTTTTGAAATATATAATTAAAAATAATTTGAAAAATTGAAATTTTGTAAAATTTAATTGAAATTAATTGATTCTTTTGAAGTATTTTATTACTATTTTTGAAAATTAACTTTTAAAGAAATTTAATTGAATATTTTGGAAATAGTTGATTTCTCAAAAATTTTAATGAAAAATCTTCAAGTGTCAATTTAATAAAAATGAAAATTAATGAAAATTAGATTTTAAAAATAATAGTAAAATATTTTTGAATAAACTAATTCTCAGAATTTTTTCATTCTAATTTTTTAAAATTCAATTATTTTCAATATTTTCGAAAATTCAAATACATAAAAAAAATAATAACATTATAGAATTATTTTTAACATTTCGGAGAAAAGAATAATGTTAAAAATTTTTAATTAAAATTCTTCAAAAAATTATAATTAGTTTTTTTAAATTATACAAAAATTCTTTTTAGAAATTCAATTATTTTCGAAGAATTAAATTACAATCTTTATAAAAAACTAATTCTTTAAATAGTTTTATAATATTTTTTTAAGATTCAATTACCTTCGAACAAAGTAAATTAAAATTTTTCAAAATTTACTTTTTTAGATTTATTAAAATTTCGGAGAAATGATTTTTAATTAAAACTCTTTAAAAATTTGTTAGTTTTTTTTATATTTTTTATAAACTCAATTATTTTTCAAAGATTTTATTAAATTTCAATTATTTTTTAAAGATTTTATCAAGTTTCAATTATTTTTTTAAAAGATTTTACTAAATCTCAATTTTCGGACATTTTTTAATGTAATTGTAAAAATATTGTCTCAAAAATGATTTAGAAATATTTTTAAAATTTCTTTAAGAATTTCTTTATTAAAATTTTTGAAAATATTCTACCTTAATATCTTTAAAGAGAAAAATGGACAGTTTCAATTATAAAAAATTGAATTTTTGTATTTAAATAATTGATTCTCGAAGAACTTTCGGAAAATTATTAAAAATAATAATGGTTAATTGATTTAGAGATGAAGTTTAGTTCAAAGTTATAGAAAATAGTTGAATTTTCGAAGGGTTATAGTTGTAATTTCTAGAAATTAATAAATTTCAGAAGTTGAAATTTTATTAATTTTATTTTCAGTGAAAAAAGGGATAAGAAGTATTTATATATTTATTTAGCAAAATTATTCGAGTTTTGATTAATTGAATTTAGAAATCAGGGAAGAATCAGGGAAATACAAAATAATATTTTTTGTGACAACAATGAATTAAATAAACGACTTTTTTTCTATTTTTAATTGACTAAAGCGACTTTTTTGGCTCGTTAAAGTCGATCCGAGGCCTGTAAGTTTTAAATAAATATTTTTTATTTCTGTCTAGTAATTAAAATTTTTGAAATTATTGGAACACGTAATATTTCTTTCATTTGAATATTCGAAAATTTGGGAAAATAATTAAAAGAAAATTTAGAAATTTAGTAAATAGCTAATTAATCGAAAGAATTGAATTCAAATATAAATGAGAACAAAATTTAGAAGGAAATAAATTAAGTGCAAAGAAATATGTGGAGTTTAGTAAAAAAATGTAATAATGTATTTTTTAATATTGTGATTAAAATGTTTATTTTTATTTTGCAGATTTGAAGAGAACTGACTGGAAAGAAAGAGAGACAGAGATAATAATAAAGAAGGACAAGTAATATTGATGGTTGTTGATGGATGTTGATGGTTAAAAAACGTTTTATAAATGATATTATGATGTAGCCAGAATGTCGTTCCGAATATCATCGATCGGTGAGTCCTGTTTATTTTTTATGACGTATTGACAACATCAAACTCGCGATGGTAAAAAAAAAGAAAAAATCTTATACTTTTGAGACAAATGAGTCTTAAATTTAAAAATTGCAACATCATATATAACAGTTATATTGATGTTTGTTAATATCGTCTTTTACTTATGGTATTGAGGAGCCAAAATGCTAATGGTGTCACAGGTGCTGCCATTATGAAAAATCTTTATGGTTTTCCCTTATGGGGTTCTTAATATACAAACGGTTGTTTTCAATTTGCCTGAAAAAGCAAAGATAAATCAAATGTTTGAAAAATTTGACACCACCATATATTTATATATAGTGGTATGCTTGCTTCTTGTTGTTTGCTAACCTTTTGCAATATTCTCTAATAATGCGAAACACTACATGAACTTGACACATCGTTAAGCACGTCCCTATTTACCCTTTAGATTCAAGAAATTCTCTCAAAATTCTGTTATGCGAAATTTGCTATTAATTTCTATGGAAATATATTCAGATTTTAATAATTAAAGAATTTTGTGCGCATTTTTCTTTAAAAATTGTGCCAAAAGCAAAAAAGAAAAAGAAATGTAGAAATTTTTGAATGAAAGAGCCATGGTATTTGGTGCAATAATGTTCCGATTTCTTTTCCTCTTTTCTTTTCGTGGTCTCATATAATGGGTGCATAAATAATGCAGGCGAAGATATGCTAATGCCGAACGTGATTTACATCATTCTGTCGGGGGACGCAGTCTTGCGAATGTCACATTTCTCGCAAAAAGCGAGGCCCCCGTGTTCCCGTTTGCTACTCCTTGAATAAGAAATTCAACTGTTTCACTTCTCTTACAACCTCATAACTCATGAGCTTTCACGCGCACATTAACATTTATTATTTAACCAAGTCCTTCAGTTGGCTTTGATTATTCATCCAAAAGTTGGCTCTCGTTAATAAATTATTCGCTTTTGGCTAGAAGCATAATATTTCTTTTAAATGTATATATATATATATATATAAGCCAAAATTACATCCAACTTGTACTAATTAATTAGTATACGCTCTCTAAGAACACTATAACCTTCTTTAAGAAGTTTATACATTATACATATCATTAGAAATGTATTCAGTAGAAGCATATTATTATAATGGAATTCATTTACTCGAATGTGTGTCAATTAGACACATTATTGTTTGAAACAATTCATTAAAATTTACCAACTATCTGTTTGTATACTATGAAACTTTATCATTTTTAAAAATTACAAAAATTTTAAATATTTAATATTTTTTTTGAAACGAGCAATTTTATAATTAATTGTTTTAAATTTTAAAATCATGTGAGAATTTTTCGCTTGGAGGGAATTTTTTTTAAATGCTTACTAAAAGAAAAATTTACTTGATTCAAATAATCGATTGTCTATTATCAAATAAGTAGGATAGGGTTCCTACAGAATCTGGAAATCATGGAAATCATGGAAATGGTATGGAATTTTTAAAAGGCTTCTGGAAATCAGAGAAATCATGGAAAAGGCCTGGGATTTTTAAACGTTTCTAAATTTTTTATGTTTTCCATTTTTTCTCTTGAATAGAAATTAAAATAATGATAAAGCTAAATCCCATAAAAGAGAGCAAAAAATGTTGAATTTTAAGAAATTCGGTTTTTTGAATTTTTGATAATTTTCGATAATTTTAGATTTTTTACCAAAGAGTCAAGACTATTAAATAAGTAAAGTATTTTCCAAGAGCACAAAAATAATGAAGCTAAATCCCATAAAAGAGAAGAAAAAATGATGAATTTTAAGAAATACGGATTTTTGAATTTTTTATAATTTTCGATAATTTTAGATTTTTTACCAAAGAGTCAAGACTATTAAATAAGTAAAGTATTTTCCAAGAGCACAAAAATAATAAAGCTAAATGGCATAAAAGAGAAGAAAAAATGATGAATTTTAAGAAATACGAATTTTTGAATTTTTTATAATTTTCGATAATTTTAGATTTTTTACCAAAGAGTCGAGACTATTAAATAAGTAAAGTATTTTCCAAGAGCACAAAAATAATGATGCTAAATCCCATAAAAGAGAGCAAAAAATGTTGAATTTTAAGAAATTCGGTTTTTTGAATTTTTTGTAATTTTTGATAATTTTAGATTTTTTACCAAACAGTCGAGACTATTAAATAAGTAAAGTATTTTCCAAGAGCACAAAAATAATGAAGCTACATCCCATGAAAGAGAAGAAAAACTGTTGAATTTTAAAAAAATCGGTTTTTCGAATTTTTGATAAATTTTAATAATTTTAGAATTTTTAGCAAAGGGTGGAGACTATTAAATAAGTAAAGTGTTTTTAAAGAGCTCAAAAATATTGAAATTAGATTTAAAATTCCACTGGGATTTCGTAAAAATTTGACCTGAAAATCATGGAAAAGGTATAGAATTTTAAATTTGGATTTCTGTAGGAATCCTGTTATATTTACTTCTATCTAATAATTTTTATTTAAATAAATTGAATGGTATTTGCTTTAAATACATTTAATTTTATTTAATAATATTTTTATTGATTCAAATACAATTTAATTAACTCCAATAAAAATTATTTGTATTTAATTTAAGTAAATAGTATTTTGATAGAGTAATCGGTTATTTGAATCAAATAATTTTTTTTCAGTGCTGAATTTTAGTTTAGAATTTTGGAAAAAGTATTTAATGGTACATACATTTAACTTTTTTTTGGAGTTAACCGACTTTTGTTCTAAAATAAAAATAAAAAGTATCATTCATTAATAAATTTAATGATCAACAATATTTAAAAACTTCATAATTAATTTTCTTTGTGACGAAAAATTGTAATAATAAAATTTTAATTTTGAGAATAAAAAAATTAGATTCATTTGAATGTTCGAAACTTTAGAAATAACATAAAATTTAATAAATTTAATAATATATTTCAAAATTTATATTGTTAGGAAGTTTTTTAATTTTTATGATATTTTTTCATTTTAATTTTGTTTGAATTTTTTATTATTTATTTTTTCTTATTTTCTATTTACAAGTTTCTTTGTTTTATGAGATTAAATTTTAACTTTTTTCAATTCTAAAATTTTTGTAATAAGTTTTTTGAAAATATTAATCAATTTTCATAAAAAATTGATAAAATGATTTAATATTTAATAAGAAAGGTTTTTTACAATTTAAATGTAATTGATTTTACTTTAAATTGAATTGATTTGAAATTAAATTTAATTGAATTTGATGTAATATTAAATTTTATTGAACTTAATTTAATTAAAAAAAATTTTTAATTTTAAAATTAAGGATTTAGGATGATTTAAATTTTTTTTATGAAAATTGAAATAAATTAAACTTTAAATAGACTAAAATGATTTTTCTTGCGTCTTAAAATCGATTGGAGGATTTTAGACTTAGGAAATTAGGAGCCTAAATTTAAGTTCACATATGACGTTAGATTTTTAATTTAAGAACTGTTTTATATTTAAGGTATCTAGCAAAGATGGAGTGGAACTCCTTAAATTCGAGCTGACTTTAGCGTAAAAAGAATTTTGTAGTATGTACAGGCATAGACACTTTCAAATAATGCTGATCGTTGCTTACTTGATCTTAAGAAACTATTTATGCTAATTTTCTCTCCTTGAATTTATCAAAAGCTTTATGCTAATTTAATATCTAAGGGCTGAGAATAGTTGTTCCCAATATTATTGAATTTTTTTGGTTTCTTGTGAAGGAAACTTTGTAATTTTTGAATTCAAACAATTTTTTGAAAATGAAGTATTAAAAAGCTTTAAAGTTAAATATTTGGAAACGGGTTTTTAGTTTTATTATTTAAAATAAATAAAAATTATAAGATATTGGGAAAATAATTTTAATTCTTTCTTCTTGATGGGGGCAAAGGTAAAGCTTGTCTTTATTTAGTGATAGTAACTTCTTCTCTTCTGGTATCTTTTTCGGTATACTGAATCTGAACATCAATGACTTATGATCAACGTTTACTTACAACAACTACCCCCATAATTGATCTAGATATTTTTCCTGTTTTCAGTATAGTATACCGCGGTTAGAAGCAAGACATGGTCGTTATCCTGTTTTCTTTTCGTCTTTTTTTTCTCTCTTGTAAGTGGCAGAAATGAGGCGTCAAATGACTCAAGGCTGAACGTTGTCCGTAACAGACTTTACCCATTTGTTGTCGAGTTTCTTTTCCGCCATCAAATGGAGCCTGCGGTTTAACTCGTTCAACTGTGAGCATACATCTCTCTTGTACTTTAACTTTTCCCCCCTTTCTTCTTTTTAAATTGACTGGTAAAATGGGTAGAACTTTCTTTATCGGATGTACAATGACGTGAACATTCTGATTCACCTTCAATTCCTTACTGACAACAACAACAACAACAACAAGATTGGGAGTAGTTTTATTTTTTCCAAATTATCAAACTCTTGTTTTATTTCATGAAAAGCTTCCTAAGAGGAAGCATTTGTTATTTGTTTTGGAAACTTGTTAGTTTCTGTTTTTAATGGTTTTGGATTTCGGTTTGTTTAGATTGACCTCGATAAGTAAAAAGTAATTTATTTTTTGTTTTGATTATGTTTTGATTTGCTGTTTTAGAAAATTATTAGTGTTTGCTTGTAATTATTTTTGATTCTGTTTAAATTTTTGATTATTGGTTTTGGGAAAATGATTATTTTTCTGTTTCGATATAATAAAGATGTGATTATAGGGTTTATTTATAGGAGATGGGATTATAATGATTATTCGAAAGTTGAAGGTAGACGGTAGTTAAATTGTAGAGTGGAATCAATAGCATGGTTCGGTAGGTGGGTAAATTCTTCGAAATTATTGTCTCTCTCCGATAAACACTCGAGGAATAATTTGCAGGGCTGTTAGTCCACTCCTTTCCTGAGAACAAATTGTATGGCAGCGTTAATTTTAACACTCCAAGTGCGAAGCGAAGCATGATAAATTTTGCTCTATTTTAAATACGATTACGTTGTC